AAGTCTAGGTTAGATGAACATAGAGGAGAGCTGACCAGTTTAAATATCTCCGATATTTTTTAATATATTGTAACAGAAGCAGTTTAACTTGTGTATCAATTTAGACAAAGCATTGTTTATCATGACGACAGAAAGTATGTAAAATTTAATTTACGAGTCAAATATTTTTCATCAATTAAGTATTCTGCTGTTTTTCAGTACATAGTTTTTATATTTGTGTAACTAACTAGACATTTAAAGCTCATAGTCCTTATTACTGAGTAAAAAGCAGTGGAATGTTTGAGTGGAATAAAATATTTGATAAAAGTTATATTTTGCGTGGAATTATTTTTGGATAAACGAATTTTATATGTGTGTGCAAAAATTTTTCAATTCGCTTCAAAAGTTCTAGAGATTGGTGAAATACGGAAAAACTAAAATTAACATTAAGCTGCCTAAACTTTGAGCATCATTCATGACCAAACTATGAAGACCATTATAAAGAAATATTTTGGTTTGAAGAAGTTGATGAATTTAATTTCGATAGCATCACGTTACTAACTTTAGGAGAGATGGTTGCATAGAATTGAGGAGAAATGGCCAGTTTTCCTTAATATGTATTGACACATTAAAGGATCGTAGGGTCCTTAAAAAATTGGAAATAGGAAATAAAATTAGGAAAATAAGATGTATTTAAGTAAACGAGTCTTCACCCCCACTCTTAATATATCCAAATAAATTCTAGTTGCAAAATCTTTGGGTTCGATAATGGCTTACGTTAGGTTTCGTTTCGTAATTTGAATAAGAAACGGCGAAATCCTTCGCTGTTTTATAACAATAGTGAAACTACTTTTTTAAATTTTTGAAGATAGTACGAGTTCTGCTTATTACATTCCGATTCTACAGACCTAACATATTTCTATAATAGAACCGTCGTTGCACGGCTGGCCTAATTCACGACTACTAAAGTTCACCTCCGAAGCCTTGTAAGTTTGAACCCAATCCAGAAGACAAGGGAACTCCTGGATTGAACATTGGGAGAAATTTGCCTTCGTCTAGGACTTTTTGATGGAACTAACCAGTACTTGCGTAACATGGAGAAGAAAACCACTAAAACCTCTCACGGTAAGCCTGACGGCAAGGGGACTCTAACCCATGATCCGTCTACCACTGAAGATATTTTACGTCAGTACTGTGGTCGGTGCAAGCCGGATGCGGAATTCGCATCGACCAGACATGGCTGGGATTCGATCCCGATTCTAGACCTAACATATTATCCGAGATTCTGTATATTCCGAATATGATGAAGGCTGTGGAGAAACTAATCCAACAACCAAAAACGATGACAAGATGAGCTGTGTTGGGCGCAAACAATGGCTCCATGAAACATGAATAAACTTAGGAAACTTTGCTAAGGCCATACCAAACTACCGAACATTCTTATTTGTGTAAACAAAACAAAATCAAAGTGTGAGATAAGGGTATTTACTCTCAAAATCAACAATTGTTTTTTCAAAACCCTGAAGCAATAATGTGCCTCATTATGAAACAAAATAAAGAAGTAATTGACACTTAAGTTGACGTTGCAAATTACGTCCTATTTGCATGGAAATAATTTTTTTTAAAAACTTTTCCTCTTTAAACAATCATTTTTGACAAGCATTATCAAAAGTAATGACTTTGATCATTCAGTGTTAAAAAAAACTTAAGCCATGCGTTAAAAGGAACTAGGGCAAAAGTTAGAAATAGTTAATGATTTTATGGATAAATTATCATACGTGAAAGTTAAAAACTCATTTCAGCTGTCATTTAATCATTAAATGCCATTTGTTATCTCTACTGAGGTAAACTAAAAACATTTAACGTTCATTACCATTATTCTTAAGACCGACATATAAAACTATAATTTTTATTACAACATTCTTTAGAATATTTTTTGAGGACACTATTTTTTTCAGATTTTTAACTCTAATGATGCAAAATAAACTCACATTAATAAAATCATTTAATCCAAAATGCTAGAAAATGAATATAAAATTTTTCAATCAAAAATAATTTATCTAATGAAACTAATGTTTTTTTAGTCAATGTGCCTCACAATTTTATTAAATTGATTTAATAAAATTGGGATGCACTTTGACTTTTACATGAAATAAGAAACTAGTTTTGCAATCGAGCTATGAAAATTGATAATAAGAGCTCAAGCTTTTTCTTCTTTGAATTAAATATAATTAAGTTAATCAATCTAATTATCAGAAAATTATGATTTTTTTCCCTTCTGAATGAGTAAATTTACAAACTTTCTCAGTCATCACCGTCTTGGATTTCAAGAGAGGTTTTTTTTCCTTGATGTATTTATTCTTAAACTTTTGATCATGGAGTATCATTTAAGAGCATTAAAAAAAAAGGATGAGAAAAAAATTCGATTATTTAGATTGCAAAAATGGCCCTTATAACCTTTAAAACCTCTACTTGTTTTTTATCAAAACTTTTTCGCAATAATATAACGCTTTTGGTAATTTTGAATAAGTCGCTCAATTCTGCAAATTTATGTTTTTAGAATTTTTAAAAATTATTTTTATTTTATTTAAATCGGCGAAACCTATTTTGAATGAATTTGAAAATTTTTCAACCTGAATTACACACATACAATCAAATAATCTAAAAACAAACAAATCTTCAATACAAAATTAAATTTCTTAAAATTCTCTTTTATATTGACATCCTTTTGACAGCTGAGTTCAGTTTGGGGAAGAAGCCTATCACAATGTAGAATTTCACTTTTTTAAAATTGAAAATGTTAATTGAAAATTTGCATGCAAAAGTAGATAAACTGTGATTTGCATTTGGTAACTAAATAAATAAATAATTCGTTTTTAACTTATCGCATGTTCACTATGCCAATTTTTCCTAAATTATAAATAGAACCAGGAAATATTTAAGAATTTTGAAAGCATTTTTCCAGTGAGAAACAAAATGATGGTATTAAAGATTGATTATATTTTATGCATACTCAAAATAAGGATGTGCCGTGTAGTAAGTTATTTGTTAAAGTGTGTTAAAAACGTTATGCATGACTGCGCTTGTATTTAAGTTATTTCGAACCAGTAAAGTTGATAAACTGATGGAAAGCGTTATTAAAGAGAACTTAATAGTTAGAAAAGCTTTTTTTAACGTACGAAAATAGTTCTTTGGTATGTCTTTTTGAAATAACACAATTTGATTAATGAAAATGCAACATCTCTTCTAAAACGTTAAGAAAAAATATATTTATTATTTCACCTCATTTTAATGCCAAATTTTGTGCTAAGATAAATTTTACTTGTTGCAGAAAATAACGATTTGTTAAATTTGTGAAAATGATGAAAACGGATTGTTAAATTTGAGAAAACAAATTTATATAGCTTAAAAAATTACATTAATACAAACAAAAATGTACTAAAAAGTCAAGTTTTCAAGTCTTGTTGTCGAGCTTTAGAAATCGCCAAAATTGCCTTTCTTAAAGCCTTTCTTTCCTTTCATTGCCTTTCTTTTTTATAATATTATTAATTATTTTTTCTTTCTGTTTTTTATACTTTTAGTAGTATTTTGTAAAACACTAAAAAAGGGTGTTTACATTTTAAAGTATTGTTATTACATGCAAAATATAGTTCATTTGCGAAAGCAAAAATTACTTCCTCCGGGCAATACTACTTTGAGAAGGTAGGATCAATTCTTAGCTGACCCTTTCGATTTCGGTTGATACTTTTTTTAATTTGATTCTATCGTTTTGATTTAATTTTAATATAAATATGAGGATTTAAAATTATTATTCTTCAAACTATTTCAAGAGCGGAAAAAACTTTTAGAAGTGGTACTAAGAAAATTTTATTAAGTGGAAATAGAGGTTAATTTAATTTTTAAGGCTTTTTCTTCGTATGTAAAAAGTGATTTTAATGTGCTTAAAAATTTAAAACCTGTGTAATTTTTTTAAAATTTTCTGCGAGCTTTTTCTTTAAGGAAATGTAATAGATAAGGATTTTACTAAATCTTGATATATTTTCCAAAAAAACAAAATGTTTAGAAAACATGAAGTAACGTTAGCAACCCTGAAAAAAGTAAACGGACCCACTATCTTTTTTTTTCTTCACCTCACCTCTATTTTGATAGAATTGAAGCAAAATCTGGAACATACACAAATGCACAGAACGTCTTTGAATATGAAAATATACTACATCTGAAATATTTTATTTTATTTTATAATCGGCGCTGAACGGCCGACCCAAGTCTGGCTTTACGGCTATCAAGGTTCAACTCAGTAGCGTTGTAATTTTGAACCCAATCCAGAAGACAAACGAACTTCTGGTCAAGTCTTATGATAAACTAGCCTTCGTGGAGGACTTTTTGATGGAACTAACCCGCCTTTGCGTTACGTGGAGAGAAAAACTACGAAAATTTCCCACGGTTAGACTGACGGCAAGAGGTTTCTAATCCATGATCCGTCTAACACTGAGGATATTTTATGTCAGCACCGTGGTAGATGCAAGCCGGGAGTAGAATTCATATCGACCAGCTATCACTAGGATTCCCTCATTGAGAGGCGAGCGCTCTATCTCCTGAGCTACCGTGCCTCATATCTAAAATATTAACATTATTATACACAAAAAATTTCCATTTTGTGTAAAAGAGTGCTTTAGTGGTGGTTCTCCCTGAAAAACATTTTTAAGCAGGTAGGGTAACCAACGTAATATTTATTTTGGCAAAATAACACCGACTACACACATCTATCATTATGCTAATGTATCTTACCCGAAGCACTTTCCTTGATCAATGTTATAGTAGTAACTTCAAAAAATTCATTGTTCAGTACCTTTCGTCTTTGTAAGTTAATACCTTTAGTACCTTTGTAAGTTTATATAAAAGTATAGGACGTTAACAACAATATTTTTAAAGCTAATTTAGCCTGGCAACATTTAAAAAAAAAGGAAATGATATTAATTACTCTTTATAATATATTAATTACTTTCATGTCTTTATAATAGGTAGCTGAAATATTTCCTCTTCAGAGACCTTCTACTGATTATGGATTCTTTAGATGCCCTACCATCTGCCGATTATGCGTCTTTGCTGACAATATCTCCGTTAAACAATAAAGGAGCAATCAAAGAAGAGACAGAATATACAAAAGAAAATTTCGATAAATCCATTCATGAACATATTTACGATCAAGTCACACCAATTGAACCATCTCAACCAAGTAAAAATCAATCTGAACAGTCTAAAGATGACTTAGAACATCGAAAATTTGATAAAAAGGGGAAAAGTACTTTCAATACATATGTGCTTAGGAATCCGACATTGTCACTGAGTCATGCCAACAGTGCGCCAGATGTCAGAAAACCTAATAAAGATTTATCAATTATATCTTCAAATGGCAAATATGGTTCCTTGAACGTAACAGAAGCAAATAAAAAATCTATAAGCTCCTCGTTAGATCCTACAAATGATTCATCAGTGTTTTCAATAAGTGGCAGAAGAGTTGTAGTATCTCATGGCTTCAAGGGAAGTTGCAATAGAAGTGATAGTATGGAAGTAGAAGGACAGATTTCCAATCAACCTAGTGCGTAAGTTACTATTTTTATTTCTATTTCCCTGATTTAGGAGAACTTTCTGAAGCTGATTTAACAGTTTAAAAAAGTCTTATAATTCATGTTGTACAATCCATAATGATTACGATTACCCTAAATATAAACTTTTAGAATCCTAGTCAAAAAATATACATATTGGGGATCACAAATTAATATTTAAGTTTAAAAAAAAGGAAAGAGTGAGACTCTAAACGTCAAACCTTTTCTGATTGCCAAGGGAAACAGAGAGGAAGTTCTAATGTGATTTTAAAAATCATCTAGTTTTATCAGTTTTGATGCTTTTCACTCAGCCTTCTTCACTAGTAATTCGATATATTACAATAGTGTTTTCGTTACTCCCACTCTTGAATATTGATTTGCCACCCCTAATGTTTCATTTCACAAAGAATTCTAAAAACATTCACTAAGGGTGGTCATAATGAAACACTCTCTATATACTCTTATAACAAAAGTTCATACCAGATTTAAAACTAAATAATACTACACATTTTCCTAAAAAATATTTATTAATAAATTAAAAAATGCTGCAACCTTATTACGATATTAAGCTGAGCTTTAATAATGTACAAGTTGAACCATACATGGAGAAGAAAATCTGGTTAAGTTAATGTACTGTATGGTAAATACATTTCAGGTTAAAAAATACATAATTCTGGTTACTAAAACCAAAATATAGGATATTTAAATCTTTCATTTGGTAACTTTCCCTTTAATAAAGTAACGGTTCATCGTAAAGTTTGGTTTTCAGAATTATAGTTCTTAATACCACATATTTAGTAAAAAATACAGAACCGAGAAATAAATTTTACCTAATAAGTGGTTTTTTTGCCATGGTCTAAGCCATTATGACAAAATTACCAAATTTTTTGCATTTACCAAATTGTATCACATGTTATAAAACGTTATTTTACTGCTAATTTCATCAAAATCATTCAAGAGCTTCGATAAAAATTACCAAGCTTTTCGGTATTCCCATAGATCCAGAAACACTGTAAATATTATCATATTCTGGTAGTTTTGATCATACTTATTTTCTCAGTGAGGTATCATGCAATAAAGTGGAACGACGATTAACTTGCACGATAATATGGTTTAATTTACACACCTTATTAAGGTTTGCAACAAATTCGAATAATAATAAGACTCAACGGGGACCAGTATTTTTAACAGTGCAATGAAAAAAATTAAAAATTTCCAATTTTCTAAAAAAAAATATAAATGAAGTAAAATTTTTTGGAAATTTTATCAGGTTTATGAGTAATTTACTAACAGTTTTTAAGGTATTAGAGAAAAAGACTAATAATTGCATATTTTGATCTCTTATTCGTTATTGTTTTCTTCTTGCTTTAGAAGTCCAAGTTTATGGTCAAGAAGTCCTTCTGCTGACAGCCAAATAGATGCAAAACGTAGAAGATTGCAATTGTGTACAGACTGTTTCTCTTTGTGCCTCTTTGTTCCAGGAACTCTTTTATGCATTCTAAGTCCCTGGCTATTAGTGCCTATCTATATAATTCCAAATTTTTCTGGTAGTAATCTTCAAACGCTCATCTGGATTGTTTGTGTCGGTTCAACATTTCTCATATTCATGGGTTGCATGGTTGGAAACATGGTTTGGTATAGAAAAGGATCAAGGTGGAAGTGTCTTCTACATTGTGGTAAAGGACCTCAAAACCATTATTGGGGTGACAGCCTATCATCAAGAACGTTGCATATAGTTTAATGATAGGAATTAAAAGGATGAATTTAATATTTATTCTGTGAATTTATTTTTAATATTCGCTTTAGCTGGATCAATTTTAGATTTTAATTGAGGAGATTGCAAAAATCATGTAATTCGGCAGTTTTAGCAAAGTGTTAATAAAATTCTTAGTTATAAACAATATTACTTCGAATATTTAAAACTATTAATTTTGAAAACTACATGGAGAAAAAATATTCTGTTGAAATTACTGTACCATATGGTAATGACATTTCTGGTAAAAAAAAGAAAATAATTAAAGAGCAAATTGTTATTAAAGAACAAATTATTGTTGTTATTAAGGAGCAAAAATATGATATTTAAATCATTCTTTTAATAATTTTTACGTTCATATTGTAATAGTTTACCGGAAATTCAGTTTTCAAAATTAAAGCTCTTATTACCATACATTTAGTAAAAATACAAAACTGAGCAGTAAATTTAGCCCAATAAATGGTTCTTATGCCATGGTATTAGGTATCATAATAAGATAAAATCACAAAATTTTAAGACATATTATGAAAAATTACTTTATTGTTAATTTTACATTACAAATATTACCAAGGCGCTTCTGTAAAAATTTCCCTGCTTTTTGGTGCTTCCATAGTACCAGAAACAGGGTAAATTTTGCCACATTCTGGTAATTTTGGCAATAATTTTTTCTCAATGCACTATCTAGTTGTTTTTGTTGTGAAATGTTGAAAGGAAGGTTTTTTTAAGATGCTCTTTAATGCTATCTCAGAAGCGGTATTTAAATATACAAATAAAGCTTTCCAACATATTTTTCAAGTCTTACTCATCTTTTGTAAATTTTAAGCATGGAAGACATTTCTCCTCTTTAGTGTTTTTAAAATTAATCTAGGTGGCTCACAATGAGGCAGATTATTATTAAAGCAACAGAAAATCAAGATATTGCAGTAGAATGATACTTGTTCATTGCGTGCAATTTTCAAACTTGTAAATTCGAATTTCGTTAAAATTTAACTGTCCCGTAGTGAACTGATCGTTAAGACACGGTTCCCAGCAGATCACCGAAGTCAAGCATCACTGGCTGCGGTCAGTGTGCGGTTGGGTGACCACTTGGATCAGTCTGTGTTAGGGACCGAGGGTGTGCGGTATTGGTCCTCGTTAAACTGTTCTACCGTAAAGTGCTCGACTTCGCGTGCAGGTCGTCGGGCTACCGAAGCGGGGTGCCATCCCCTCTGCAAAGGATCAAAATTGTGATGGCATGTTTTCGGATCATCCTCAGGGATGTTTCCTAGACAGTCGCCAATAGCCCATTGTGCAGCTCTAGTGCGACGTAAATGAACTACAACTACAACACTTAAAATTTAACTACTATTTTTACTCACGTGACTTAAATTTTATATTTGAACCAGGTTTTTAATGTATAAAATGGCTAAAAATTCAGCTGCGATTTATAAATTTGGCTAAAAAGGTAAGAATTTTTTTAACCGAATTCGCAAGGTTCCGCTGGTATTTTGAATTTCCTTTAAATTACGTACATCAGATGTTTGTAAGCCACTTCGATTTGCATGCTGCCATGGACGACATTTTTTACAACACAACCGAAAGTACTAAAGTATGAAAAAGCCTATTATTCTGCATAACAATAATCTAAAGTAGTTTTTTTATACCAGATTAAAAATGATATTTTAACAAGGATTCATACTAAATGTTTATAATTACCAAAAAACATTTATAGGATTTCAAAGAGGTAACATGAATTTAAATTTTTTTCGAAAAATTAATCTTCATTTAAATTTTATCCCTTTTTTAAGCTATATAAACCACAAAATAAAGCAACCGTTGCAAAAAGTGAGCTTTAATTCACTTTTTTTTCTTCTTTTTTTTTTTTATTATAGTGGAAACTGATTTCTGCCTCACTGTACAGCTGTTTAAGTATTGGTCGTCTAAATATTACAGATAGAGACTATAGAATTTGGACTGAGTTTCAATTATAATGACTTGGTTTTTAGTTAAATGGGTAGTAGTTAAAAGGATTTTTTTCGTATTCAGAAAACTACTCGTAATATGTAAAGTAATTTTTAAATAACAATATTAGAAAGATATAGACAAATTTCATACTAAAAAGTGAATTGATTAGTTGGTTCTTAGTTAAATGGGTTGTAGTTGAAAGGATTTTTTTCGTACACTGAAAACTACTCGTAATATGTAAAGCAATTTTTAAATAATAATATTAGAAAGATATAGACAAATATCACACTAAAAAGTGATTCTTAAGAAAATGAGAATAAAAATGAGAATCAAATCTATACTTTTTCTTTAAAAACTCTTCCATTCTCACAATAACGTTACCCTCGACCTTTAAACTATTTTTTGTTTCGGTTCATCGAGTAAGCTTAATTAATTGAAAAAGGGGTGTATTAAGTAACGATAGCAGGTATTAGGCCATTTTTAATGGCCTTTTTCTGTTTTCCATGTCATTTTTTCTTTTTTGTTATTTTTAAAGGAAACAAAAACAATTTTATTATTTTCGACGTTAGTTTGATAGATAAAACTGTGCTACTTTGGTTCAAAACGTTAACATTGATCGTTAAGCTGTGTTATTAAGTATTTTTTATTACTTTCTAAATGTATTATACATTATAATCGAGAAATATTCATTTATCTACTTTAATGTGCAAAAATAGAACAATTATGTGGAAAGAATTGTTTTTTCATTGTAATAAACTGCTCTTCAAATTCAAAAGCAAAATTCATCTGTTTCTTTTTAGCGAAGAGTAGCAATGATGTAAAAAAAAGATATTACTTATTAATAGGAATGAAAATAGGTACCTCATTCAGAAAAGGTTTAATATTTTTCAAACTGATGCTTATTACAAGAAGAGCATACATCAAAACATAATTATTTGAATTTATTTAACTTTGGAAAACATTTCAGCGTAAAACCTTTAAAGTTAGCGACTAACATTTTGAATTATAAAAAATTCTGAAAATATCTGAAACATATTTACCTTTTTAATGCTATTTTATAATAAATTTTTTTCCGCAGAATTTGATAACATTTTATAATTAGTTTCATTAATTTTAAGAATTTTGTAATTTGTTAGATTTAAAGTTTGCTTTATATTGCTTTTTAAGAAAGTATTATCGATTGGAAGCTAATTAAACAATTAAAAAAACTCTCAAAAATTTTTTTAACAAGCTAATGAAATAGTTTCAGCAAAACCATTTTTTTAAAAAAAAGAAGAAAAAAATACTTAACCTATTAAAAAACTGTTGATAATTAATTAATTTAATGAATCATTGAATTTTATTCAATACTTCCTGAAATTTTGAATTTAATAAACCATTGAAGTTTATTCAATGGCTCCTTAAATTTTGAAACATTAATATAACGCTAAGAAGATCAACAAACTGGATGCAAATTTTAAAAAGAAAATTGATAAATCAAAAATTGGAAATTAAAACAATGAGTTTCAAGCATATGAAATGAGCAAAAAGTCATAGTACGAGGAAATTTTTGTATTCAAAACACTTACAGAAGTTACAAGAATCAAACTTTCTCTTGTTTACAAACACTTTACACCAATAATGTTTCAAACGGAATTTATATATAACAGACATCAAACGGTACATGTATCAAAATGTGACATTTCTACAGTTTTATACATTTAAAAAGACGCACTTTAAAAAAAATTTCAAGAATTTTCAATTTGTGACAAATGAATATCAAATTTATTTGTTAAAATAACACATCATAAAGAAAATATTTTAAGATTCTTTCAGATCAATATAAACACATTCAGATCATTGTCCAAATCACAAACTGAAGTAAGAGGCAAATCACATCACATTTTATAACTTTAAATAAAGTGAAACAATAAAGTGTATCCTTTTCCGTAGAACTTTAGTTGCTTGACTTATTTCGTAGAAAATTTAAAATAAATCTTGGTTTTTAAAAAACTTATGTTTTGTTCAATATCAACCTAATAAGATCTTAAGGTGACTAACTCTTTCTAAAATTTGTTTTACACTATTTTCAAAAAAACAATATGTACCACGAGAATCATTCAATTTGCTTACATTGAAGATTAACTATATTTGACTTACAGCAGTATGTTTTTTTTTGTTTTTTTTTTTGTTGAAAATCTGATGCTATGATACAACATCATTACTTATATTTGAAATATTTTCAGTAGTTAAAGTGGAATCCGATGTCGTATCAGAAGCTTTCAAATCATCTGATATTACATCCTTAGATATTGCATTTGGGTGAAGAGTACGAGTTTCGTCATTCATATCAACTGGTTTTCCTTCTTTGTTTTCTGTTGTCTTTTCTGTAAAAGATTTTTCGACATCAGCGTTTTCCTCAATATTTGCGACTATTTGAGTGGCATCTTCTTTTGATACATCCCATTTTGGTGCAGAAACATTAGGCTGATCAACATAGGAATTCATAGGCGTTACAAAATCATGATTTAAAACATCAAGCCTATCGGAAATATCATTATCAAGCTCTTTTGATTTTACATTATCATCACTATGTGCCTGGTGTGTATTTTTCAAAATTGCTCCTTTTGGGGGACTTGATTCTTCGTCAATAATTTCAGCACTAGAATTTTTTGGTGTTAAAAACTCATGCTTCAAGGTCTTGAGTCTATCATTATTAAGCACTTTATGCTCTGGTGAAATTCCCAAAGCACTATTTTGGTCCATAAAAGACCCAGAGCTGTCTTGAAGAGAGGAAGCGGGTGTTTGAAATTCTGTACTTGTGTTCCAAGATTTTCCAGAACTCGTAAAAGATTTCAATAAGGAAGCAGATGTTTGGTTTTCTGCATCAGAACAAGTAGGTTGAAGCATTTGATGCTCGTTAGCCAAGGAACTAGGTGGTGTTAAAAATTTATCACTAGACGTAAGATCCCTAGAAAGGCTTCTATGCATATCAATTGGCATAGAAGATGGAGAATTTTGTTCCGATTTTTTCAAACCCTTGTGTTTTCTTGGAGAGGAAGATTTCTTATGGTGACGATGCTTTTCTCGTTTTTGAGATGTTGAAGGTATAGATGATGCATCAGAGTTCCTTGAAGTTGCTTGTGGATTTTGCTCATCTATAAGTGGTGTAGAATCAGGTTGTCTTTTACGACATATATTTGTTTCAAATAAGCACATTATAATTCCAACAAATACGGTAAAACTTCCTATACCCATAATAATTGGACCAACTATAGACATCGGTGCTTTGTTTTGTACTTCATTTAAATTTCCGTTTTCATCATCATGGTGATCCCCAATAGCTAATAATAAACCTCCTACAAGTACAAGACCTAGGCCAAAGAAAACACTGCACATGATTACTTTGCCACTGAAATGGAATTTCTGCCACCAAGTAACAGAATCATCGGCAGTTGCTTGCTGGCTGCCCTTGTGTTCTTTTTTTCTTTCGTGAGGCATTTTGAAAAATCACCTGAAAAAAATATATAATTGCAATTTATATTCAAAGAAGATAATATTTGTTAATCTTATTTTAATTGAAATATTCCTGATGGAAATTTTGCAATAAGCTAAAGCAAATTGATGATCAAGTACGTTAATTTAGTCTGGAGAGTGGTCAAAAACTGACACCTCATAGTGTTCAGTTTACCTGTGTATTTTGCCATATTTCTGGAACTATTTGACAAAATCAAAAACCTTTGAACACAATTACACTGTAAAACAAATTGGAGTATAGTTGCCACCATTTTTGGTGATGAGATAAATATAAATACATTTTTAAGTACAGAACCTCAAAGAAATATATAAAATTAGCAAAATAATAATTGCTCGAACGAGTTAGTGAGAATATATTATTAAAAAGGTGCTTGTTTTTGAAACGAAATGTTTTCACATTCGAGCTATAAGGTGATTTTAATGCTTAAAGAAATATGTATTGTCTGTAAACAAACAAACAAAAACTGAATAAATTAAGAAGTAAAACTTATAACAGTGAAGAAGTAAACAAAAACTGTGACTACAGGCATTGTAAAAACTTTTAATTTACCTCAACACCAAAAATGGTAGCAACTATACACCATAAAAAAATTTCATTCGATAAAACTTGTTTATCCAAAGATAATTAGACCCCGAAATTAATTATTTATCATTATTGTTTAGATTAATAGGGGTCAAAAAGCTGTGAATTGCAATAATTACAAACCTTTACATATTTTTAAACCAGTTTTCAATGGCAAAATCCAAAAGTGAGTGGAATAGGCAGAATATTGCTCGAAAAATAATTATTTAAAAGAAATAACAATAACACAATAGGAAAGGGTGTAAAAATTTGTAAACATCACAATTCAAAAACATTTCGACTATTATTAAATTAAGAAATCAAAAGTAATAAATAATTATTGCAATTTCTTTTTTTCAAGGAATTGTTTTAGGATAAATGGGATAATTCTTAGGATTAGGAATTAATTAATTTATTTATTTATTTTGATTGAAACGAACAGTTCTTGAAATATGGTGAAATGTAGTTAAAAAGTAAAACAAATATAAAAAAGTAAAACAAATATTAAAATGTTTTAAATTTCAACTGCCTTTATGAATAGATTCATGGGACACTAATCCGTAAACTACAATTCTACCCCCAAATAAATCTGAATCCAATGAAAAAAAAAAGTTATGTTTATTCAGAAAAAGTGTGTTTTTGTGCCTTGTTGACAATTTAGTATTATTTTGTGAAATATTTTCTGCCTCAATCAATTAGAATATTTAAGAAGCATCTTTCCTTTAGATTCTCTATTTGTCTTTTCTAAAAAAAAATTCTACCAATGCAATTCTGCAACAAGCATTTTTTTTTAAAGTTGGTTAGACAATACAACAATTATCTTTTTTTCGCAAAGAGTTTTGATTAACATCGTTGTTTCTTGTGCCATTTATTTTAAGATAAATTTTTAGCATCATCGTAATAGCACGGAGAAAAAAATTCTGCTAAAATTACCCTACTGTAAGGTAGCGAAATTTCCAGCAAAAAGAAAAAAATTCTGGTTACGGAATCAAAATATGCTGTATTTAAGCCATTTATTTAGTAGTTTTTCTGTTCATATGATAACGGTTAACAGGAAATTCTGTTTCTCCAAATTATAATTCTTATTACCACAAGTTTAGTAAAAACTACAAAACTGAAAAGTAAATTTAACAGAATAAATGGTTTTTATACCATGGTCTAAGGTATCATTATAAAATTACCAAATTTGTATCATATATTATGAAACCATATTTCATAGTTAACTTTACCAAATTAATTACTAAAACGCTTTGGTAAAAATTACTGAGCTTTTTAGTGTTTGCCATAGAGCCAGAGACACGGAAAATTTTAGCATATTCTGGTAGTCTTGAGCACTCTTATTCTCTCAGTGGACAATCTCCGATGCTGATGCATAATTGAAATAGTTCAACTGAAAATTTTCTTCAAAATAATTCCAATGAAACATTTATTTTATAAAGCACATGAACACTTTTAGTGAGAAAAAAAATTTTTTTGATTTAGAAAATAATTACCTGGTATAAGTGAAACTGATACTACGACACGCTTCTTTGTTCGAAATAGTATCATAATGCATTTTAAATTTTCTATTGAATATGATAACAACCTAATTTGATAATGCGCCATTAATTGATTGCATCATGCAATGACTTTGGTATGCATTTCTTGCTTATCTGACATTTTTACCGAATGAAAAGGGCGAGCGAAAATAAATTTGATAATATAGTAATAATTAGTACAGAAAAATATCCTCATTATTTTTTGTTTTCTACTAAATCCTATGACTTGAATTAGTTTTTATGGTGATACAAACAGAATAAAAACTAACAAATTTATAAAAAAGAATTATTAATGAAGGCATTAAATAAAAATTATTAATAAAGACAGAAAATATAATTAATAAAGAAATTAGAGATGAAATTTAATAACTCTACAAAATGAGCAGCTTACAACGACATTGCTAGAAATTTTGGAACTGCCTGTTAGATACATTTGTTAAAACCTTAATAGATAGCTAAGTTAAATCCCACAATCATATTTCTTATATTTGATTGCACTATAGTATGATTTTAAGTTCACGATTTTATTTTATAACCTTCGTTGAATAGCCGACCCAATGCTTTGGGTTTTGCGGCTACTAATGTTCAACTCCATAGCCTTATGATTTTGAATCCAATCCAGAAGACAAGGGAACTCCTGGATCAAGTATTGGGAGAAAATTGCCTTCATGGAGGACTTTTTGATGGAACTAGCCCGCATTTGCATTACATGGAGAGGAAAACCACGAAAACCTCCTACGGTTAGCCTGATGGCAAGGGAACTCTAACCCATGATCCATATACCACTGAGGATATTTTACGTCACCACTGTGGTCAGTGCTATCCGGGTGCAGAATTCGTATCAACCAGCCATCGCTGGGATTCAAACCGGTTTACCCCAAATGGCAAACCGGTTTGACTGAAACCGAACTGACGAGTTTTGGACGCTCTATCACATAAGCCACCACGGCTTCTTAATTACACGATTAAAATATGTCAAGAAAAAGGTGGTTCTTACAGATAACCCTGTATATATTGAAAATAATTATTTTGTGGTAATCATTATCAGGGCCCGCGCTAAGTATTCACCACCTAGCCAAATGCGATAATATCGTAAATTCGGCGAAAAAAAGGTTTTCTGTCGCAAAAATTAGCGANTTTTTTTTTTTTTTTTTTGAACAAATCTTGTATTTTTTATTCGATTACTGTGACTTTTGTTAGATACGTCTCATAATCAATTAGAATTATATTAAGTCCAGATACTGTAAGTATAAGCAACGAGGGAGATTACGTAAGCACGACACTAACTACAGTAAAATATAGATTAATATGTACGTTGCAGGATCACGCGATATCGCATGGCAAAATTCTTTCCTAAGTAAAATATATTTTCTTGGGACAATATTATATCAATAATGTGACTACAATATAATGTTGCTTATATTGCAGCTTTTAATTGTCTATCAGAAATTAACCCAAACCTATTCCTATTTTTATTTGCCATTCATTGCTCCTGATGTGAATTTGAATTTTATAAAATAATTGAATTTCATTTACTCCTGATGTGAATTCATTTACTCCTGATGTGAATTTGAATTTTTTAAAATAATTGAATTTATTGTAAATTTGTATTTTGATTTAAAGTTTTTACGGAATAAAATCAATCTTAAAAAAGTGTTAAGTTTTGCCTTTGGCTAAGAATTTGGCTAATAGTTTTGATATTTGGCTAATTTACAGGCTAATAATTTGAAGTCCTTTGCGCGAACCCTGATTATTATTTAAAGCATCATTAATTTTAAAAAAATAAAAACTCATTAAAAATTGGAAAGTTAGACACCTCTGTTTTATTTTCTCAAGAAACACAAAACATTCAAGAATCACAAGTAAGAAAGACGCGATTAAGAACATCAAAACCTGTTTGATGGCCAGTTGAAATGTAAAGAGGCTTCTAATGATCTTCATTCAATCCATCTCTGCCTCGAGCAACTAAACAGATTTGAAAGTTTTCAATCTCGTCTACCTCAATAGAAAGTCATATTCACATTTTTTTCTAGCTTTAATATTAATATGAGACCTCTAATGTGGGTATTTTTTTACTCCACGTAAGATAAAAACTCTAAAAATATATATTGAGTTCGATGATTAAAGAACACTCAATATAAAATTAAATATCTAAAATATATTAAATTAATATAATGTAATTTTAAATATATAACATGCATAAAATTAAAAAGAGAAGAAAAATGATAAAAGACCCCGTACAAATCTCATGGAAATTAATTCTCTGCCAAATTGTCTGAAAATTAAATATGTTGCAGGTCTCATTAAAACCAAATCCAAAAATTGATAGTTTCTGAGATATGAAACATCAAACCATAAATAGTATTTCTCAATTCTCTAAGTACGTTATGACTTTAGCATTAACCAAGGAAATTTAAAAAAAAAATAATAATTAATAATTAACTTTTAAATAATTATTGAAAGTTATATTAAGTATCGAAAAAGCTAGTAGCGCATTAGAACGTCCAACGCTAAATGAGTAGCTAGCATTACTTTTTGCCTCAATAAGCCAATTGCTGCTCGCTTCAAACACTTTTTACCACAGTCCATAATGACAATTGCCTAAATCTCTTATGTTTGAGAAAACTTGAAAGCTATCAATTTTTGCACTTTAAAATTTTTTCTCAGAATGTCATCTGCAACATATTAAGCTTCCGGCTTATTGAACAAAGAGTTAATTTCCATAAGATTTGTGCAGAGTCCTTTGACAAGTACGTTTTACAAAATATTTTGATAAACAAGCCTTCGCTGTAATGAATTTAAAGGAAAGTTTCCATATGTATCTAAAAAAGCTATATGAAGAATAAGTTAGTCTAAAATACATACCTGATTTATGAATACTGTCAAGAAAACATTACTTCCGAATTATTAAAACAAAAAATAAACAAATAAGAGAATAATTTATTCATTGTTGTAAGAATATTTTGAAGAAAAGACTTATTTTTGATTGTCAACTTAACAACAGTGTTAACCCGCCCACAATGAACTTCGCTTTGTGACGAGTTCTTATCAGTCATGTGGTGTTCGATTGTTTGACAAAGTTAGCTCATCACAGATTCCCAAACTTTGTTAACAGTTGGTTTGCATCAGAAAGTAAATCAGTTTAAAAGTAAAACTCTCACAGATTATTTCACATTTTAGGAAAACAATTTTAAGTGACAATCATCGTAAATCGCAAAATAAAGTCATTAGATAAGTTTAATGACAGAAGATAATTGCTTATCACAAAAGGGTTATAGTTAAAACAACGAGTATTTTTCGTACTCGTTGAGACATAGAAAAACAAATGAAGGCAAAAACAATGAATATTATATATTTTTTTCTAATAAAAATTCAATCCAAAATTCAATCGTGAAATTCAGAGAGGTGATAAAAAATATCAAGAGGGTGAAAATTTACCAGAAAACATGCAGTCGTAAATTGCTTGTATGCTATTTGATTTATAATCATGTTTCGCGATTTTTTCCAACTCAATGTGTGATTTGCGACCCAATGTTCTATTGTAAGTTTCATCATCTGAATCATTTTTCTTTGAAAAATTTGTTTATTTATTTATTTTATTAATTTATTAATTAAATTTCTCCACAATTATACTGTTCATTAATATAACAGCTGTGCACTTTTTTACATACAGAACAGTTTAAATGCTAAATCAAATTTTATTTATATTGTGAATAAAAAACAATATAAATTTTAGATTACAAAGAAAAATAGAAATTGAAAATTAAAAATTTACAAAAAAGAAAAAAAAGAGTCTCTCGTAACAGGCTTGAATTCAGGTTTTAATAGTTGAATTTGTTCCCTGACCCCAGGTTTTACTAATCGCAGCGTTTGTTAGAAATTAAATTCAATGTCAACAAACTGCATGAGAGTAGTTTTTACAATAAAATACAAAATAAAATTGGCTGTTTTGAATAAAATTTAAAGCAGTGATTGATAGCATTTTATCAAAACTAGCGCAAACATGTTCGCTGTAGCTACAACTGCAATTTATTTATTTTTCCTCCAAGTTATTGTAGTACTGTAAATATATCTTTTTAACTATTTTTATTAGTTGTAATATCGAATGAACATTCTTGAAAAAGAGGATAGAAATGAAATAATTTTAATACCACTTTTAAAATTTTTCTATGATCTTAGAAAACTATAGTAAGTTTTTATTCTTCCTAAAAGACGAGAATTTATGCGATTCTTGGATTTCGATAACTTTTTGCCCTATAGTAAACTGCTGAAAGGTTACTCGATAAAGTTTATGCAACTTAAATGTGCTTAGTATCCATTGCAAAGCCGGACAAATAGTACGATATTGAAATTTTAATATGGTGGTTTATCGTCAGGAAATAGCGATTATCGTTGAGCTTTTTATACAAAACACAATTCAAAATGGGTGCTTAAGAAAACGGACATAGATTTTTAAGAAAACAGACGCAGCATTTGATTTCGTTTTTAAATGAAAATTGTTCGTTTTTCAGAAAGAAAAAAAAACTAGTGTATCCAAATAAATTCGTAATGTGATGTAGTCCATTTCTAAATTACTTCGAGCATTTTCTAAAATAGTGTATTTGAAAAAAAAATATATATATGTCTACAGTTGTTTTTACAAGGTTGTCATGAATGCTATAAATTTATAATAGTGGTATTAAATTTATGCAGTATGAATTTAGATATTTAAAAACTCTTTCATCGTTTAGAGTTCTGAATATGAAAAGATCACCTGAAAAGTTATTATACCCAATCACTCAGACCTCGAAATCGGCTTTGTTTTGGCTAGGTTATATTTTAATAAATCGCCAAATTTAGATCTGTTGGACCGTTGGGAACGATTGCTTTCCCTTTACATTTTAAAATTTGTGGCGACTAGGAGTTCTGTCCCAGCCATCCTAACCGTTTTTTAAAAAAAATTTCATTTTAATAAGACTGCTTACAAAACTTCTCAATATCGAGATTGTGTTTTCTTGATCCCTTTAATGGATTTATTTTGATGATTTGTAACGTTATATAATGGCCATTGTTTCTAATCTTTACGAATTATTGCTTAAAAACTCAATTTTTTTACTACGATTTTCATTAATTTCCTGGCGACGATCATTTTGTTTCATCCATTTATTAACGGCCAGAAAGATCAATAAATGAAGATATTTTCCACTATATGATAAGAATGGTGACCAACAACAGCGTCACCACAAATACTTACTTGCAGTACGCGAAAATCTGATCATTAGAGCCAAAGATATTCAGGGTTATATCTTGTTTTTGTTTTTTTGCATTAAATTTTGAAAGATTTGAAATAGATTCAAATAATGCTTGCCATATTTTTTTTTATTAAATAGAAATCTATGGGATTTTCCACTTTTAATAGGAAAAAAAAAAGTTTTACAGAAGTTCAAAAATATTTATTTTTGTATGACGGGATCGCTGTTTTTTTTACTATTAAATCACGATATGCCATACTTTTTAAATGAGATCCCTTAGAAATTCATGGAATTTTTCACTTTTAATAACAAGTTGCACAGAAGGTCAAATGCATTACTTTTCTTCTTTGCCTTATGGGATCATGACTACTCTTCTTACTATTAAATATCGATATGAATTGAATACAAGATTTACAGCTTTCTAACTTTGCAAGAAGATTAACAAAACATTTTTAAAAGAAATTCTGTCATGCTAGAGAGCGAGTTGGTGACAAACTTCTGCCTGCTCACAAATTCAATCTCGCGATACGATCATTGATGTGTTCGATCAAAAATGATCAAATTCTGGACAGGAAAAGTTAACATTCAAGATGTGGAAGTGGATGGATTAAATAAGTTTTAGAGTTTGCGCGTGCAGAAGCTGTCAGTGAACCGAGTACTGAAAGTTTAATAAAGTTCTTAGTGACTGCTGATAAATATCAGGTTTTTTATCAGGATAAATATCAGGTTAAGAGAACGCCATACCATGGGAGAAACTTTTCGTTGCAAATTCTGTCGCCTCCATAACTAATTTAAAATCCAAAGTATAGAAAAAGTTAGTCCAGACAAACCTAGAGTAAACCATGAAGTTTCAAATGCTAAAAAGATTTTTAAAATATCAAAAAGAAACTAAATTATGGGGATGTAACTTAGGATTACTAACTTAGGATTTCTCCACTAAAACCTTGCATTTTGATAATTTGAATTTTATTTTTCAGCAACTGAAACTTCATGCTTATTCTAAGTATGCCTGAACTCATCAAAAATTATCTTGATTTATAGCTAAATAAATACTTCTTACTTTAAGCATATTTTTGTTTGTGGTTTTGATCAAAACTCGTCTAACATGGGAAATAATGCGCTTTGCATTATTTCCCATGCATATCCTTTTTGAAAATGAAAATTGAATGCATAATTTCAATATACAACGCGCCATGTAATGATCATCATTTATGTATTTTTGAATTCTTGTTAAAAATATAGACATTAGGGGTCCCAAATTTATTAAGTAAGGAAGACATAAAAATATCTGTCCATTCACTAATATGGAAGACTGAATATAAAACATTAAAACTATTTCAATTGCTTAGTTATACTTTTATTTACATTCATCTTTTGAATCTTCTAATTTATCCATTTTTTAAATCTGTTTTGGTGTTTCCTTACCAGTTTCCCTCATAAAAGAGATTTATAAGATTTCGATGCCACTTTTTCTCGCTTTAATATTAATTTGCGACCTATACTGAATTCATTTTGATCAAGGATTATGAAAATGTTTATTTATGGGGGTTATTATGGAACACCCTGCATAAAGTAGTAGTAGCAGTACTTTCGTTGGTCTAAAACAGCACTATGGGTAATGGGTGACGGTCTGGGAAACAACCCCGAGGATGATCCGAAGAAATATTGCAATTTTGATCCCTGCAGTGGTGATTTCTCTTCCCTCTTTAGTAGCCCGACGACCTGCCAGCAAAATTGAGCACTTCACAGTAAAACAATTTAGCGAGAACCTATACAGCACCAGAGCTAAAGAGAATAGAAGGGCTAGTTCACTCCGCTCTGAGAGCTGAAGCTACGATTTCCCTCCTCATGACGTCACTGTGTCCACAGATCTCGGAGATCGCAAGCAAAGATATTATGATAACTTTGCATCTTTCTCTTTGTAAAAATAAGTTAGACTTTTTCTGGTTATTAGCTTTCAAACTTTACGTAATTAACACATTATTTCCGTTCATAAACATAGTTCAAAAAAACTTTCTTGGCCATTATATTAAAAAAAATACCATTTTAAACTTATAAAAATGTTTTACTAGTTGGCGAAAATGACACTATAAATACTTTATTTTAAAAAGTTCAGTTTTAACTTTAATTATTAAGAAAAATGAAAGCATATATCGACACTTTTTTTATCTACATATTCTTTTATAACGATAAGTTAAGTTAAATTTAGAATCCCTGATTTTAAAATATGTCGTTAATAGCAATTTGTTCATACTTAATCATTAGGAAACATCAACCTTAAACGCTAATTACTGAAACAAAATAATAATTTAGGTTCATAATGACATTAGAAATTTTACAATTGCTTATAGATATTTAAATTTTAGATTTATAGATATTTAAATTAAGATAATATAATTTTTTAAAAAATCATAAATATTTAGAATAACTACATTAGAAAATATATGTTATGAAATTAGGAAGAATTTCAACTATACACTATATATTTTATTGATACTTTTTATTTACGTTTTAATTTTCTTTGACTTTATCCATTTTTTAATTTTTTTCACCTGCCTTTCTTTTTGAAGTCACGAAGCGGTTTCTATTTAGATAATGAATTTTTATAAAAGTTCTTAACGATAGAAAAAACGCATTGCTGTTTTATATTAACTGTGTCATTTCGGAATTCATTCTTTACATAGTTGTTCATTTACTTTAGGGAACACGCGGAAAATTATATTTTTTCCTTTTGTTTTTCTATCAGAATTTTTGCAAGTTGCAATCGCGCAAACTGGCATTTCGTTAATAGTTTTACATTTTTGTAAATTCACTGCAAAAACTGAGGAAAGGCATTATAGAAAATAACAAATGTCTTAGAATATGTCACAAAAAGAAATGCTTCAATATTAGTTATAGCTAGTAAGGCCGAACGCTCTGTTCTTGAAGTAGAAGCGCGAACTTTGCGCCAAAGTGACGTCACTAGAGAAAATCTGAGGATTGGCGCGGCGAGAGTTTGTTCAAAGGAGTGAACCAGCCCTTCTATTCTCTTTAGCCCTGATACAGCACGACCTCGGTCCCTTCACAGGCTGGTTAAAGTAGACACCCAGCAGTTCATAGACCGCTACCAGAGATGATCTATTTTGGATATCTACTGGGTACAAAGCTTTTATGATTGATCCAGTGTAGGACCCCTACATAAAGTAACAGCATATTTAATTAAAAACTGAACAAAGGAAAAAAGACAAAGGAGTTTTACATAGTAATACACTACAATAAAAGATTCGAAATGCGCCTACACGTATATCGTTTATCAGTTAAAAAAATTAAGAATAAAATTAAGAAATAAATTTCATTCTGGTTTAATCTGATCTTTTCACACACTTAACGTTTTAAGAATAGTTGTATTTTCACTTTTGGACTAGGCTATTTTTTAACTCCCTTTAAGGAATATTTCAAATGTCGCAACAAAGCCTTGTATATTTCAATACACTAAATGAAAGCAGCAAAACGATGAAAAAGAAATAAAACAGATATTTTTCAAATTTTTTTTTTCATTTTAACTAATAATGATACATTTAACTTAAATATTGTTACGCCATTTATTTTCGCAATTTAGGTATGACAATTGTAAAACCAAAATGTAAATTATTGGAGACTGAATCTTGGGTACACAAATTATCTTTTATTTCATTGAATAACAATGCATTCTACTTGTTATATACGTGTACACATCAAACGATGCGAGAATAAGATAATTTATTTAAATGTAACTTAAAAAAAGACAATAAATGAAATGAAAAAACAAAATAAATATTAAAAATAAGATAGTGTAAATTTAAGGTGATTTAACTCATCTTCTTAAATACTATAAAAAAATTTATTTAATGCTTGGTAAAATTTTATATGCATAAAAATTGAAATATTAGCAAAAATGAATTATAAGATCACATTTTAAACCATATTATAACTTCAAAAATTTTTCTGACATTGATACATAATACTCGCAAATGAACAATTTAAAATTATTGAAAATGTAATGTAAATGCGCCATTATCAACAGCTGAAAAGCAAGCTTAAATAAAGAAATAACAAAATTTAATATTTTAAAAATAAAAAATTGAAATAACAGTGATCCCTTACGTAACTAGCGTAAAAAAAAATTTCATTAAATTTTGTTTCCGCTCAGAAAAGTTCTAAGAAATTATAAAATTGTTAAATGTCATTTCAGAAGTATTATAATTAATAACACACCAAGTACAAATTTAACTTTATAAATAAAACTTATCAACACAGCAATACATCCACAATAAACTTTAAAACTATTTAATCGACCAAATAATAAATTTCTGAATCTTTAAAAAAATGATTCGATTTAAATCAGTGATTATACTCAAAAACTTAACTTGATTTAAACTACGAATTAAATAAAGATGATTTAAATCATGGAACCCTGACTTGAGTGCAACTCAAAGCAACCACGCAATAAATAAAATAAGAAATAACTTAGTACGTATATTGCAATTAAATAATTTAATACCTTTAAATAATTTAATACTTTAAATATCTCCTCGTATACCAGTAATTTTTAAATAAATAATTATTTTTATGCCATTCATCCGAGACAAAAATAAATTAATATTAAGAATTTAGTAACAGTTTCTGTTTTAAAAATTTGAGATTAAAGATTTAAGAGGAGTGGCCAACAAAATATTTTATAATTTTAAAAATGAGAGTATTAAGCCACGTGTTAGTTTTTTTTAAATGGAAAATAGATCATATTTTAACAAAAAAACTTTTTAAATTTTTCTGTTGTTCCGTCAATTTCTGAAATACCTCGGTCGCTAGTTCCATGTTATACCTAGTCCACGGTAACCAATCTGGCTGGTTGAAAATATCCGTGTGATGATCAACAATAAAATCCAGAGCAAAAGATTTCAAGTCTGTATGGTTGAACATATTTGCAAGTGATGCTATGTCGCAAGCGTTTCGCTCAGATATATCACACCTTAGGAAGGATGCGCAAATTTCAATCAGGCGACGAACTTCATACTTATCGGCAAGGATTAATAATTTTTTAAGACGATCATAATCTATTTTTTCCAAGGTATCAGAGTAGAGAAAATTCACAAAAAAATTAAGAGTGTCAATATCGGCATCTGGAATGTCCACTATCCCAGTTTGCGTTTCAAGCATTTCTTGTTGGAACATGGCATGAAATACTGGAGACCGAGCTATTAGTATTGATTTGTGAGCTTCTACAATCCCATCATTCCCTCGGATTTTAATATCACAGAAATTTTTATCAGAAAATAAATTTCGAATATCACTCTGTAAAGAGTGGTTAGTAATAGCATTATCACTGTGATTAGCTAACAATTTTATTTCGCGATTTCCATAAAACACTGCTTGCGACTCTATACCTCCAAAACAAAATAATTCGCATAAAATACACATGCTTCCGTTTTTAATAAATTTGCTTCGGTTAACTTTCAGATTATTGAAGGTGAGAAATGTAGGCAATATCCACGAATCATCATCATCATCGTCTTCTGAAAACTGATACCTGTCTTTTATCGAGAGTACTTGGCAGCCATTGACATCTAACAAACTAATTTTGCATTCGACACATTGACTTGAAACACAGTGACCAATAATTCTTATTACCACGCCATCATTAGAATTGACGAAACAGAGTTTATATTTATTCATATCTGGAAATTGAACGAATTCAGTCGTAATGTCCCTGTTTTCCTCGTCTGGCTCAAACAGTGTTTTTAGTTCATTAAGTATTGTCCATCTCAATCGAAGGCTTTGATGATTAACAATTATCTTAGTTCGAGTAAAACAATTCAAAGAACTATCATCGATGGATTCTACACGAGACATGTAGCAACGAATTGACAGAGTATCTTTATTCATTTCTAAAATGTCCTGCACTATACGAGATCTTTCAACTGCTTTTCCTCCGTCTGAGCCATCAACTCTACTAAAAGTTACATTTTTGTTTTCACAAGCATATAGAATGCGACCACTAGGCCCAATGATTTCTATTTTGAAATTAATAATAATATCCGCCATACCTGGATATTTGCATAAATCACACCAAATTTTTTCCATCTTTGAACTTGAAAATAAAGTCAACTGCCATGGCTCCTGACATATATTTTCGACAGTGAAATATGAACTTGCAATAGTTTTGAGATGACAAAAAGAGAAGTTATCAATTACCCACGTAATACAAAATCCATATCTCTCTGCGTCTGATGACATTATTTAAGAAGACAAAAAAATCCTTATTGGTATTTTGGAAAATAGACACCTCGCTCTGTTGATTAGACAGGAGCAATCTAAACTGCAAATTTTAGCGGGAGTAAACTTTTGACACATGTCCTTATCAAATGTTGGATGGATATAAAATAAGGTATGGCGCCATAATCGTTCATTCTCTATCGTATTTCAAGCCAATATTTCCACTGTCCATATTTATTGTTTATTGGATTTAAGTACATTTGCAGGCTTTTGAGCTTAATTTAGGCTTAAACCTTTGTCAAATAGAAGGATAAAGATAGCTCAATACTGAGAATGACAGCCCGAAAATACATTCAGGGTAACAGTGGGATTCGAACCCACTACCTCCACGCTTTGCACAGCGTTTGGCAGGCGATACAGCTCGGCCAGGGATGCCCTTTCGCTATCTGTAAGTTTCTTATGAAGCTGTAAAAATTTTTTATAAACTGATTAAAAGCAATGCCCCAATCATATGCTTATTCAGCGCCATAATCATTTTCTCCAAAAAATAATTTGTCCCGCAGTGGACTGATCGTTAAGACACGGTTCCCAGCAGATCACCGAAGTCAAGCATCACTGGCTACGGTCAGTGTGCGGGTGGGTGACCACTTGGATCAGTCTGCGTAGGGACCGAGGGTGTGCGGCATTGGTCCTCGTTAAACTGTGCTACCGTAAAGTGCTCGACTTCGCGTGCAGGTCGTCGGGCTACCGAAGCGGAGGTGCCATCCCCTCTGCAGAGGATCAAAATTGTGATGGCATGTCTTCGGATCATCCTCAGGGGTGTTTCCCAGACCGTCGCCAATAGCCCATTGTGCAGCTCTAGTGCGACGTAAATTAACTACAACAACAACAACAACCAAAAAATAATTTGAAAATTATTTAAAATAATTATTTAAGTGCTGTTTCTATTATTCAGTATTAGATAATTTTTATATTGTAAAATCAGATAATGCTTTTTTTCTTTTCGCAATTAATTGTGTTGTTGTTGTGGTTCATTTACGTCGCACTAGGGCTGCACAATGGGCTATTGGCGACGGTCTGGAAAACATACCTGAGGATGCCATCACAATTTTGCGAAGACATGCCATCACAATTTTGATCCTCTTCAGAGGGGGTGGCACCCCCGCTTCGGTAGCCCGACGACCTGTACGCGAAGTCGAGCACTTTACGGTAGAACAGTTTTACGAGGACCAATACCGCACACCCTCGGTCCCTACGCAGGCTGATCCAAGTGGTCACCCACCCACGCACAATTGTGTTAAATACTACTAAAAAGTGAAAATTTTGAACAGCTAACTAAAATATGATCCCCAAAATCTTTGGAAATCCTAGAAGGATCGACATCCAAGTCATATTTAACGTGTTAGTGGTGGCGCGGTTTTGAAAGCGCCGTTGATAGCTTCGCTTGAACTTCAAACTTGAGTTATTTATTTATTTTTTCTGGAAAAGTTAATGGAAAGCATACACTTTGGGGCGAATAAGTGTGTATTTTTAAATTTAATTATAAAACCAAGCAAGCATTTTTTTGTCATAATTCTATTAGTAAATTGTAATACTTATTTGATTCTTGTGCATTTAACTTTATTTGATGATTCAAATAAATATATAAAAAAATGAGTATAGAAAAAAATAAATTTTGTTTAAATATTTGTTTTCAAAAAATAACTCTGAGTTGGCGACAAAATAACCTTTCCATAATTCCTTTCCAATCACTTTTTTGAAGAATCGTAAATTTCACTTTTACCAGCTGGTTATGGTCATTGTAAATAATTGATTAGAGTACATTAGAAAAAACGTCAGTTTAAGTATTATAATACTTAACCTTTAAAAAATCAGTGTAGGATGTACCCGACAAATGTATACCGGACAGTGGTATTTTAAAAAAACGTCAGTGGTTCAATACTCTTGTGATGTCTTCTCAAATCTGTGCTACCTGTTTTTAAATTTCGCAATAGTTTACACGTTGTTCTTTGTACTCAGTCTACGAAACTGCATATGTATCTAAAAGTTGTTGTTGTTGCAGTTAATTTACGTCGCACTAGAGCTGCACAATGGGCTACTGGCGACGGTCTGGGAAACATCCCTGAGGATGATCCGAAGACATGCCATCACAATTTTGATCCACTGAAGAGGGGGTGGCACCCCCGCTTCGGTAGCCGGACGACCTGCACGCGAAATCGAGCACTTTACGGTAGCACAGTTTAACGAGGACCAATACCGTACACCCTCGGTCCCTACACAGACTGATACAAGTAGTCACCCACCCGCACACTGACTATAGGTAGTGATGCTTGACTTCGGTGATCTGCTGGGATCCGTGTCTTAACGATCAATCCACTGCGGTACATGTAGCTAAAAGAAGCTTTTATTGATTTATTATTACTTATCCATAAGATGCTTATTTGAGTCAAGCTGAGAAATCAATAGCTCTATCAAAAAATCAATCGAAAAAATTTAAGTTTTAAAAAGACATAACAAAGAGGCATCCTTGGTTACGGTAAGATACGAACTCCTAACCTCCATTCTAAGCGTTTGGAGGTATGACGAGACCAAATGAGCAAGGAGGACACTGTAAAGCAAACAAAAAATAAATAAACATCACTATTTTATGTATTTATTTGTTTATTTTTAATTTGACTTAAACACCTATGATTTTTCACAATTCAAACTGTTTTTAAGTAAAAATTGAATACCTCGTTATAGACATTTAGAAATAAAAATTTTGGCTTTACCGTTAATTACTGAGAGTCATTATTATTTTTAATTTTATTTAAGATAAAATCTATTAGAATAAAGGAATACGAATGTTTTCTGGAGTTAGAAATACATATTTTTACAAAAATCGATTTATAAGCAAACAATGACTTGATATAATTGGAGCAAGATCTAAAAAATAAATATTTTTATGAAATTTATCGTTTTTGACATTGTTGTCTTGACTGAATTTGTCTTCTTACTTTTTACTTTAATAAAAACATAATAAGCATGAGTTTTGAGATTTAGCAAATGATAAAAACGAATGCATTTTTCCATGAATATAAATTAAGAAACTTTAAAAAGAAAATTCTTTTTTTCCACATCACCAAGTGTTATGAACAGTTGATACTCTTGTCGTTGCATGATTATTTTTACCTTAAAATTAATAAAATTCAATTTATTTGTTTACAACATAAGCAAACATGTCAAAAATACCCTGGTTTCCAAAAGTTAAGCTTATTTTTACACTGAACCCGGGTGTGAAATTATGCTTAACTTTTGAGGAACTTAAAGGATAAAATGAAAATTATCTTCACTTCGAGAAAAACAAAAGTCCTTAAAAACAACTAAAATTCACTAACGGAAAATAGTGGGCTTCGTTCTATGAATTATGTTTGTGCTTGAATTCATGCAAATTTTATTACTACCTTTTACAAATCTTTCTGAATACGATAAAATTTACCATGTTTTCTGGCTTTATGGAAACAAAAAAAAACTGTGTTACTCAATTTTTGGTAATATTTACGATAAAATATGGTCTTATTGCCTTGGTGTTTGATAGTAAAAAAGATAAAATTTGGTAATTTTTTCAAAAAGTTGGTAGTTTTTACAGTGTAAGTGTAATTTTAAATAATATAATTGCTTTATTGAAATTGCATACATTTGCAGGCTTGTGTGCTCAATTTAGGCTTATAAACCTTTGTAAAGTAGAAGGACAGATAAAACAATTCAGTTGTAGTTGTAGTTCATTTACGTCGCACTAGAGCTGCACAATAGGCTATTGGCGATGGTCTGGGAACCATCCCTGAGGATGATCCTAAGACATCCCATCACAATTTTGATCCTGCAGAGGGGATGGCACCACCGCTTCGGTAGTCCAACGGCCTGCACGTGAAGTCAAGCACTTTACGGTAGAACAGTTTAACAAAGAACAGTTTAACAAAGACCTTGGTCCCTACGCAGACTGATCCAAGTGGTCACCCACCCGCACACTGACTATAGGTAGTGATGCTTGACTTCGGTGATCTGCTGGGATCCGTGTCTTAACGATCAGTCCTCTGCGGAACATAAAACAATTCAGAGAAGGTGGATTCACGAAGAATACATACAGGGTTACGGTGGGTTTCGAACCCGCTACCTTCACGCTTTGCCCAGCGTTTGGCGGGTGATACCGCTCGTCCAGAGTAATCCCTTAAATGACATTAAAAATTTTAATTTGTTTACCCATATTTTACTTAGTAAGCATTTTTTAACTTTGTTTTTGGTCTGTGTTAGTTGTTTTCAATTCTATGTAAGCTCTAAGCCAACATCTACTATTTTTAAAACTATAAGAAATACGCATTTGTAATTTAACTGATACACATCAGTCTATCCCAAAATCTTAAAATGGAGCATTAAAACGAGAATCTTAAAACCAGAATCTCTTACGTGTGAGAATGGGGGTGGTATGTAGATAGTGGAAAAGTGAGATGAACTCTATGCCTTAGTTTATAATACTGTGTTTCTATTAATGAAGCATCCCACAGTGGACTGATTGTAAAAACTCTGTTCCCAGTAGAACACTGAAGTCAAACCTCCCTGGCTGCGGTCAGTAAGCGGGTGGATGACCACTTTGATCAGTCAGCGCAGGGACCGAAGGGGGTACGCGGTATCGGTCCTCGTTAAACTGTTCTACCGTAAAGTGTTCGACTTCGCATGAAGGTCGTCGGGCTACCGAAGCGGGGATCAAAATTGTGATGACATGTCTTCGGATCAACCTCAGGGATGTTTCCCAGACCCATTGCGCAGCTCTAGAGCGAAGTAAATGAACTACAACTATTATAGCTAACACAAAAGTGATCTTATAGTTCAGTGATTAGGGCAGAGAAATTTCACGCAAAATACGTGGGTTTTAATCCAGTTCCTGTCTTTCAAATAATGATTTCGTTCTTTTCTTTCGGTACAAGATGTATGCAAAGATATCATATTTCCGATAAATTTGTGAAGATCTGCAAAAGTTTCGCAGCTTGTGAGAACGGTCCTTTAAATTGTTCCTTTTAGGGCCAGTTTTGTTTCATGCAGGCAGTTCACGCTACTCGAATCGAGAGCCTGATAGGTGAAATATATTTTTCCTCGAAAAATGTATTAATCAGGTTCTCTTTTTCTCTCGACAGTGATAGGAATTGCAAAATTGGTGTGGATCACTGTACACAGTTCAACGCATTTCCTCTCACCTTATATATCGCTGTTAAATATTCTTTCTGGCGAAAAACTCACTTCTCATCTGCAATTATAGATGCGTGAATTTTGCGCCATGAGAACGGTTTCTTAAAATTTATCCACCTCTCAAGATTGTCAGAAATAAGTAGCTGGAAGCGCTCGGAACTAACTAAAAAGCATAATATTTAAATTGGAATGGCATCCAAACACTCACATGTGGTAATATGGCGGTTTACATAAAACCTCCAAAAGGCCACATAAATTTAGTTAAATTATGTGCTTTTATTAAGACAAGATTGCTTTTTTTGTATTTTATTAGAGGTAAATCAGCAGTTGAAATAAAGCAGGGCATTGAACAAGAAAATGTTTTGAATGCTTTTGACTGTCTTATTGAGGGATCAATGAAGGACAGAATATCTCACTTTGTTTTAAGGTACTTTTAGAATAATTATGAAAGATCGATATCAGTGACAAGTTATTATTTACATGTTAATATATAGATTTATTAAATATATATTTTATTGTTCATTGAGTTTAAAATTGTTGAGTCAGTACCAGTTTACTTTTTATAAGTTTCGGTTTTGTTGACACTAGTATACCGTCTTTCTCTACTTATTTTAGATGTTTCTTATTAATCCTTTTTTTTTTACTGGGATTAATGACTTATTTTTAGGGGAGATTTCCGTATCGCTATCTCTGGTAGAATTATCGCCAAGTCTTGGCAATTTCCGAACCGCGGCCCGCAAGAAACCAAAAAAAAAAAATCACAGAAAGGGACCAACTCGAAAGGTATAACTCGTAGCCACCCCTGGGCAAACATCTGCATTGAAAATAAAATAAATTGATTGACCTTGGTGATTGTAGTTGGCAGGACAGATCATGATTAGGAAATATCCCCCTGCTTTATGAAGTGAAATAATTTAAAATGCTTATTACCTCACACGAGTTATGGAAAATGCGTAATAGTTTTCTGATTACGACATTGAAAAGGTCTTACCTTCTAGGTTTCTTTGGAGGAAATAGCTACTGTAATTTAAAAAATATTTACTCTTCATAAAAGTAAAATATATATTTATTTTAAGAAGAAATAAAATTTTAATTGTTAAGCGTTGTTGGTAGCTGAGAGAGTTGAAAATAGTAATAAAAACAGGGGTGCTCAACCATTTTATTTTTTTTTAAGCTGGTCACAAAAAATTTGAAATATCAGTTTAGTGCCAACTTTGACATGGATTTACAATAGTGAAATATGGGATATATTTAGATTATCTTTGAAAGTAATATGAATAATTTACAAAAATTAAACTAAATAAATGAAAATGTTTAATGTAAATAGGTAATTTCCATTTATTTTTACTTGAAGATAATATCAAGATTTAGTTATGAGTATATAGTTACGAGATAAGTGAATGTAGTTATTTGCAGAACCAAGTAATTTATAATACATAGTAAGCTATGTTAGTAATTTAAAGACATACTGAAGAAAAAAATAATATAAAGTCAAAAAAATTTAATTTATCACAGAATGTAACTATTACTCAGAAAGAAAAAAGTGTCATGATTGGAATTGGTTTGAATCAGAATATGACTCTCCTTAGGAAGATGATCTTATACAGAGTATACTGTTGAGGAAAGATTTTTTCTGTTACTTTTTCTTTTCTGTAAAATTTTATTGCTTCTTTAGATAGTCTAAGGTCCATTTTAAAAATTTTTTAAAACGAAATTTGGCTGGTTGGACATATCTTATTCATTCTGATAAATATATGTGATATAAAAGCTGTTCTGTAAATCAATTTCTATTGCGTGAGTCGTCGGGTAGACAAACAGACAAAAAATATGTATTTAATTACATTGAGTAATCAATTTACATCTAAATTTAGATAGATTATGGGTTTTTTAATAATTTGCTGTTACAAGATGCTGTCTTAATATCTATATTTTTGTAAACAGATGTTCATATTGAGAACGGAATCTTGTATTGAATGATTATTTTTTTTTAGATTCCTTTGTTCTGCTGATTTTGAAATGAAGGAATTTTTTATTCAAAGTGAAACAGAACTATTTAAATATCGCTTGGAATTTTATTCTAAAGATGATCTTAAAAGAGTGATGTTCAACACATGCAGGCAATGTGAGGAAGTAATTCAGCATACTGGCATCATCAAGTCATACAGGAAAGTGTTAAAGACATTTATTCATTTAGCGAAAGACTTTGAAATAGCAATTCAAAACAAGGACAATTTTTTAAAAGGTATTTTTATTATGCTAAAAGTTTCATTATTAATTCTGTTCGTATTTGTCAAAATGTTTGCATTTACTATTGTTTTGTTTAGGGCTATAAAGCTTTTTGTTATGAACTATATGCTGTCCAACTTCTATGTATACCTTGGGAAATACTGAAAAGTTCTGATTCTTTATAATCGTAATGCTTTTATTATTTTAGTTACATTTTTATGTTTTATGTGAATCTCAAGTACATTGATTCACAGGTTTCTGCAAATCGAACATTTTTATTCCAACAAAATTTTCTCTGAGTTTTGCTAATCTAAAATTTTAGTTTTAAACACTGAATAGGCTAATCTTAGTACTTCTAACGAAATTGTTGAGTCCATTTCAGCAGTTTTCTGTGTGAAATCTATAGCTTGCAAAAACAGCAGTACTCATGAGGAAAATACTTCAAGTAAGCCAGTGGGTTTAGTTTTTGAGGAGGAATCTGTTTCATTCGAAACTTGTAAAACTAAAGCAAATTCTCCTGTTTCTAGTGTTGTGCCGATTTTTAGATGCTTCCCAAATAGATGATGAAGATTTATCTGACATCAATGGTGGAGAAATAAGCTTTAAAAAAGAAACAAACTACGGTTACAAAGTAAAAAATATGTGTCCGAAAAATATTCCTTCTCTTGAAAAATCCTTTCCTTAGATGTATTTCAGTGTTTCTGCTGAAGGGTAACTGTGAAAAATATGCTCTTTTTTATCAGTATGGGCTTTGGTGCAACATGGGCGTAGATTTTTCGACTCACCCTACTAGTTGCATCCGTATGCACGAAAATAGTGATAAACATAAAGAAGCAAAATGCCATCTATTTATCGAAAGTTTCTGTAAACAACTTGATGCAAGCTATCTCTTTATATTTAGAAGAGACAATTATTACAGAAATAACTTTTGCTGAAGTTTATGCTTTGATGCAGGTGAGGCCCAGTGAGGACAGCTGGATTTGATTGCAAGATACAAAGCACCAGGAGTATGTGTTGAACATTGAGGAGAAATTTCTTGGAATTATTAATTCGGGTTCTACTATTGCAGAATCTATTACAAATGCCATTGAAAAGTTCTTGGTTGCAAAAGGCATCAAATTGCTTATTTATTGCTTTGGGTGGTGCCAATGTAATGAGCGGGGAAACAACAGGTGTGCAAGGAAGGATGAAATTGCATGCTCCTCATTCTGTAAATGTAAATTGTCGGAACCATGGGCTAGCTCTTGTTTTTGTTCACCTATTTAAAAAGTATGATAACTTAAAATTATTTGATTCTGTATGAGTGAGCCTGTGGAAAATGTTTCACTACAGTCTGGAAAAATTGCAGGTTTTTAAGGATATACAGGGAGAAGTGTATAACATAAAAACTTTCAGTAAATGGATGGCTTTCACATGGCAAAGCTTGTGGAAGAGTTATAACACTCTCTCATCAATTAGTGGAGGCCTTGGATTTACTTGTTTGTCAAAAACAAAGAGCCTGAAGTAAAAGGTTTCCAAGAGCAGCTCTTAAATCCTCAAGTGTTATTGTTTTTATCAGATTTTTTAGGGAAAGTGGATAAGTTAAACTTATGGTTGCAAAGTCCTGCCATAGCATTCAGCTCGGTCTCATCACAAGTAAGCAAACTTGTTGATGATGTGCTAGATTTCTCTAAAAACCTTCAAAAAGGAAACAATTTCAGAAAAAGTAATGTACTACTTTCATTTGCTTTAGACTGCACTACACTAAGTTGAATTTCATGAAGCAATTCATGTCTCAGGATTCTTCTGAACTTATTAAAATCTTTTAGAGACTTTCGTGAAACCTCTTATTAAAGATTTTGAAAAAGAAATGGAGAATGCATTTATGATTCCTGCTCCATTAAATGAATTTGATTTGTTTTTCGACTAAAATAGTCCTGGAAATATTATTTTAGTCTAAATACTACTTATTATTTTACCAGGATTATTTTAGTCGAAAACTAAAATAATCCTGGATGTATCCCAGCCAACCCTGCTTTCTTTTTATGAGAAAGAAAAAAGTCATGAATTTAGAGGTTCAAAGAATATTTAAGCTCCTATTATAGATGAAACAGTAGCCCAGATAGAAATATCAGGATTTGAAAAATAAATTTCAGCGGCAAAACTGGCGTATCAGATGGAAAAAATGAAGGAGGCACAACTGCTTATTAGCCAAGCAAGCAGGAGTTGCAAGCAAAAAAGAAGTTGGAAACAATTTAATCAAAAGACTTGTTTAGAATATCAGAGAGTTTTGGAATGTGGACATTTTATGCTAACTGTATGAAGTTGCTTTCTTTCAGCTCCATTATTCTTTCCTCAACTGCCAGCATGGTGAGACTATGATGAAATTAATTTGCGCTCACGAATAACGCATCAATCTTTAAATATGCATTTGAGAATAATTCACGATGAACTTGACACTCTTTCTGAAACAGAATGCTTAGAAATTTTATCCAAATTTAAAAATGCTGACAATCGCTGATTATGTCTGTGAGGGTTGTTACAATATCCAATGTAAAATTGTTAAGAACTGCTTAAGATACAAATATTTAAGATATTTCTTTTGAACAGAATTTGGCAATTAATGAAAAAAGTTTGATTTAAATATCTTAAAAAGTTTCAAGCAAATTTCTAAGTAGTTTTTCCACTTTTTGAAAGAAAACTCAAAACAATCAGGGGTTTTCCTGTAATTTCATTTTGTACTGTTAAACAAGATTTATTAAAAATGAGACCGGCATTGTAGGAGATCATATCCAAAAAGTATGTTTTCTTTCCTTATACCATCACATTTTGGTTTCCAAACAATTATTGTAAGATATTATCATTTGTTAGTAAATTTTGTTTTATGAAACAAAATAAAATTTGTGGAAAACCCCTGATCATTTTGAGCTTTCTGTTAAAAAATACAAAAACTGTTTAGAAAATTGCTTGAAGCTTATAAAATTTTTAAGATATTCAAATCAAACTTTTTTCATTAGTTGCCAAATACGATTCACTAAAAAATTAAGAAAAAAAGATTTTAAATTTTTTTTACGCATGCGCAGAATTACCTTAAATACTTTTTTCTTGTGCAGTTTTTGACAAATTGTTTTACAAATTTTAAATAAATAATTTTCTAATTAATTTTAAATTGCTCCAAAAATATTGTTTGATTCCATTGAATATTTATAAAGTTATAGCAAAAAAACGTAAGGCTAAAAAAATTAGTTTTTTATAAAAATGTCCATATTTCTATAGATATTTACCCTAGGTTTACGAAATTTTATGCAGTTATTTCAATTAACAACTAAAGTAATCGATACAAGTTACAAGCTTATTGTTTGATTTTCTGACATAGGGTGTTCAAACATACTTCTTTTCTTTTGTAATTTATTGTTAGTCTCCCAAACCTCTGTAAGCTTTAAATTTTATTGTTGAATATGAAAAATTGCATAAACTAAACATCTCTAAAGTTATAAATTAATCCTTTAAGTATTTCTTGAGAAATTTTAAAAAATGTTGAAAACACAGTGTCTCTTCCATTATTGTAGGATTTAGTATATGGTAGTGTATGTGTATATTATATTATAATTATTAATATTTGCTAATATGGAAATAATATAAATTCCAATCAGTTATAAATAATAAACCAGTCTATCTGTAAATAAATAAACATGGGTTAATAGTATTTACCAGGTGTTTTTCATGGTTTTTACTGGTAAAAACCCAACCCCTGAAAACATACTTTATTTTAAATTTGTTTAAGTTTCATGTAAATGTGTTTAATTATCTAATGTATTTCATCATCTATATTTGTTATTTAAATTTTTTTTATTAAATGCTGTTTGTAATTACATATTTTAAATTGAAAAATTTTTTGTTGTGTGATTTGTATTCCATATGATTTTAAAATCACCTATAAATGTTTGCTGAAATTGAATTCAATAAATATTTTTTAAGTTATACACAAGATAATAAATCACTCATGAATGCTTTTTGAAATTGAATTCAGTAAACATTTTATAAGCATGTGCACAATCACTTGTATTTAATTTAATGTTCCAATTTTAATTAATGTTGCATAATATTAGTTGGATATTTTCACTTCAGAAAATTTTTGTTCTTAGCCATATTCTCAATGCAATGCAACTTATGTTTTCGATTATAATTTTTCTTTAGAGGCAGTATATTGTTCCACATCAATTAATATGGTGAAAAAATTTTTTTATATACTCCCCATAATTTTTGTGTCTTTAGTTGGTATTTATACATAAATAATTTAAAATTTAACTCTTTTTCTTTTTCAATTTTTGCTTGCATATTAAAACTATTCGTCATTTAAAAAACTATAATAATTTAATTTAAAGTTATATTTATTTGCTTAGTTTAATTAAATACCAGCAAATTATTTCAGTTTGATTAATTATCAAAGTCTTTTCTCTGAACAATCACTGTAATTCTGTACTTAGGCCTATAGCTAAACTGGGTTTAAATTTTTTTACACATATTGTGCTACGTTTAATGCTCACTGTTTTAGTTTGTTTTTATTTGATTTTTTTTTATAAATTTTGCTAACATAAATTACTTCTTATGCAGTACCCTTCATATATGTTTTGAAATTTGTCAAGAGACGTCTACATCCTTTAACTTCAGGATTTGTGTCTGTGCCTCTTACTGAACTCAAACATTTACTTATCTCATTTTTTGAAGAATTTGTATCGCAAGGAATATTTCAAACAAAATCATCTCCATGTATTCACCAGATCAATGATCCTCGTTTCTCTTACATGGTAAATGAAATTAAGGTAATAAAATCAGTATTATATTGTATACAGGCAAAACTTGATCTAAAGTTTCCTGGTACTAACTGCAAGTTTATTTTAAAACCAGATATAAAAGCTTTTCTTACATTGTGTCAGCTAAGGGATAAAAAAAAAGCCTCATAGCTTATCCAAAGGCCCAATTTAACTGAAGCAATACTGTACAAGTATATTACAACAGATTTGTCAATAAAAATAGCAATTTGTGATTAATGATAAGTTACACTATTGTTTTTTTTTCTATGTGTCATTTAGTAAAAAAAGATAGTTATGATACAGAGAACAACAAAAAGTAGGGAAAAAGGGGAAGAGATGTATAGACAAGATCAAAAGACACTTCAAGAGCTTAGCTTGGGCATGGGGCAGACTACTTTAGGTTGTTAGGGAGGCCATGATCCAATAGAGTCAGTTCCTATGTAATCTTAAGAAAAACAACAATAAAAATCACTCTTTCAAATAATGAGTACTCGGGGATTACTAATCCTTATTAAGACCTCTAAAAATTGGCCAGGTACCATAGTAATATACAGGAAGCTCTTGAACCTTAGTTTCATTTAAGTCATAGAAAATGCTAATAATTTTTTTTCTTCCTTTTCTCATGAAATATTAGAAAATTTTTTGATCTTTTTTTGATATATGTATAAACATGTATGCATATGAAAATGTATGAATGTATGCATATTTACATAAGGAAAACAATGTAGATGACAATGAGATTAAATCATAGTACAGTAGGGAACCGATTATCCGGGACGATCGCTATTCCGGATAACTGATTTTTCCGGTTTTCTGAATCGCTACAAAAAGCCGTTTTTTTTTATTGTTAAACCCTACTAAAAAAAATTTTTTTTTAGAAATAATCTTAAAAAGAAGAAAAAACGATGGAGTTATACACTAATGATTATTTCCAAAATGATGGTAAGGTAAACATCTTTCAAAAAAGAAAGAAAAATCCTAAAATCTTATGAGGAAAAAAATGTTTTTTTTAAAAAATGGTGGGAAAATTTATTGAATTTCGTTCCGGTTTTTTGGTTTTCCGGTTTTCTGATTTCCGCATAACGGGTGCTGTACTGTACTTTAGAAGAGAAGCAAAAATGGGAATCTTTTCAAAATCTTGAGTCCTTTGCTTTAATAATAGGGATTTTTTAGGGAAGATGTGGTAAGATCCCTAGTTATACCATAATCAGACTATAAAAAAAATGAAAAATGAAGTATTGGTTCTCTTTGTTGAGGCATGAAGGGAAAAACTTGTAATAACTATTACAAAAAATTCTAAACATTTAATCTAAGATTAAGTGTTATATGTATAAAATAACTATTTTTTATTCTCTGGCACTGCATGAAAGATAGTTAAACATATATAAAGTGCCTTATTGAGCATGCTTAAAAAGTTGTTGAAAAGACAAAAGCAGTTAAAGAAAAAAAAAGATTCTGTGAGAATAAACTGTAGATATTAATAAACCTGAACCTTAGGAAGAAAAAAGAAAAAAATCGGCTTTGTTTTAGTTTAAATTATAAACGTTTTTATTAAATTACATAATTCTGTACCTTGTTTATTATTTTTTTTATCAAAAAAGATTGATTTACTTTTCCAATATAAATGTTTTAATATTATTTTTATTTGAAGGTTATTTCTGCTAATTCCTTCCATCAAAGGAGAAAAACTTTTTTATTTACCCTTTTAAACCTCACGGAATATATATTCCCCAAGTAAATTTTTGGTTTAATTGATAATGTTAACTTCCCTACTTCTATTTCGATGGTTGGTAGCACTTATAGAACTGTTAATAAGGATTTTTCGAGATGTATGCATCATTTTGTGAGGAAAATAACTGAAATAGAGCAAAGGAAAAGTGAGTGTCATAATGTACACATTTTTTTAATATTCCTTTACGTTGTTTTGAATCCTAATTTGCATGATTTTGAAAGTTTACAATTTTATTATCATCTGTTACCATTGGATACTGGTGGGACCGCATATGTGCCACTTATAAAATCTAATGGGACATCAATGTCCCAGAGTCTTACTGCAAGAAGTTAGTCAAGATTTTTTAAAAACTTATTTGTCATTTGGTAGAAAAACAATTGTCAATTTTAGAGAAACAGTGTGCTGCCAAAAGAAAAATTTACTCCATAAAAAATTAGAAATCAGTCCTAAAAGTGTTAATGAAAGAGAAAGCTAACTTATTGTCTGCTTACTTTTTTTTTTTCTATTAGTGATATTTATTTTATTATACTGAACATTTTTTATCTAACATGTCAATTTTTAAACAATAGCATATTATTGTTTCAAAATTTATGTTAATTATCTGTTATTTATCTTCATTATTAAATAAAGCATGCTTTGATTTTTGCTTATCTTGAAAACCCATTATCCTTGCCGAAGTTTTGTCTGAATGCAAGACTTTTCACTGTGTGTATATGCATGTATAAACAGCTTTGTACCCAAATGACTATATAAACATAAGCTAGAAGTGTTTAATTTATCGTTTGCAGAATTAACTGAATGCAACTAAAAAAACATTCCAATTACATCTGATTTACATGTGCAATATGACATAACAAATTCGCATGCGTGAGACAGTTCTCTTTTTTTTTTCTTCGTGGTTTCTAAATATTTGCTTATATGTTTAGGGCAATCGGATGCTGTGTGAATGGTCCTTAATATGGTTTAGATCAAATGATAACATGGGTGCAAGTCTTCCATCCACAGGACAGATTTTTGTCTTTCAAAAATGTCCTCGTCGGAAGTAAGATGGAAACAAAAGTGTTTTAAGAACAGAAGATTTAATGGAAAACAGAAGCAAAATAGTTTTTTCTGTCCTCAAAAATTGATTTTTAAGTACCTCAATATTTGTTTCCTGTTGAGTATATTTTTGTTCAGTATATCCTCTCTGCTAAAAGAATTTTTTTTGCTAACAAAATCCCAGCTGTATCTTTGACCTTATTATATGAATGTGAGACTAATAATGCTAGGTAAGAAGTTTAGTCATTTAAAAGTAAATGTCATTTGCCGTATGTTTTCTTCCGAAGTGTAGATATTTCTGGTGATAATCATGAAATTTGCAATTAATGATATAATTTTGTAAGTAAAAGTTGCATTCATTATTTATATTGGTGTATTTTCTTATGCTCCTGTTATTTTATTAAAGGAAGAAATAAACAAAATATTTTTTGTTCAGTATTTAAATTTCATATACTATGGTGAAGCTTTCTTAGATATTTTGCATATGTCATGCATGGCGAGGGGGTATTGTGTATGTTGGGAATTTCAGTCAAAAAATTTTCATAATTGCTCTTTTTTTCAACCTGCACCCATGAATGATAATAAAATAGATATGTTTTTTTAAATATTTATTTAAATTTCTTTTACATTACCATTTATTTTATAATTAAATTAATTATAATACCTTAAACCCATTGAAATTTATTTTCCTTCATCTTAGACAATATCTATTATTTGTCTTATTTATGACCAAATAAAGAAATAAAAAAATTGAATGTAATTTAAATTTTAATAATATGGGCTATTGTTAATTTAGTTTGATTTTATTGAAACCTTTTATTTTCATGTAATTATCTGTATTAGTTCATAGTTAAAAAATCTACATCTTTTGAATGTTTTTAAAATTCTTAAAAACATCCTGTTAAAAGTGCATTTTTAATACAATTAATAAACTAGATTGCTATTTTTCCTTGTTTAAATAAATGGCTTAAATATTTTAGACTTCTTTTTTTAAAAAGAGTTTCTTCTTTGGTGGCTTATCCCATTATTTTTTTATTGCAGAAAAAACTTGTTATTCTTGATATGTAGCATAAAATGCCTTATTTCATGAGTAACTTGAATTAAACGAGACTATTTTCTTTTTAAAAAAATCTATTCTTCCTATAAAAAAATCTATTATAAAAAAAAAATTTTTTTAAAAACAAGTTCATTAATATCAAGTTTCAAAAAAAAAAAATTAGATTGTAAAATGCCAATAAATTGCTGATGATTGACAAAAACGAATATTTAGCTGTAAAACGAGAAAAATCTCAATTGTTAAATTAAAAGCCTTTAATTTGTAACTAAATAAAGTAAATGCACATGATATTACACAGAAACCAAAAATTTATCACTGCTTTAATACATTGCACATTTTTTTGAAGTTTTTTTTTTAAATAAATAAATAAAACCAAAAGCTTTCTAATAAATTTGATTAATTAAATGGACTCTTGTGGAAATAATTTCATACTTTTAATTCATTATTTCAAATCCATCAATATTTCTTCCCATTGTTTTCGTTTTTTTATATTATTGTTTGTTTGCAGGCCTGGTTTAAGTCTAATATCAGTTTCTCCATTTCTACTTCTGGTATTGGTAATGCCAGAATTATAAGAGAGGAAAATTTAAACGCTGAGAGTTCGAAATTCCCCCAATGCATGAAGAACATTCATTTCTTGCTTCGCAAAACTCACAGACTACAACACCATGCAAGAGTAAATATATGTTGTTTTTTGTTTAATTTTTTTCAAGATATTTCTGATTAAATAAGTAACTGCAAATTGAAGTCAATTTTTTTAATAAATTCAAAACATTATTCAAATAAATTCAAAACATTATTTTTAATAAATTTAAACATTATTATTATTTTTAAATATTTTCTTTTAATTTTTTGTGATGTAACAAATAATTATGATATGATGAATGATTATGATATAATGAAAACAACCATGTTTTTGTGATTTTCAACTTGTTTGGAATGACAAGTGGTAAACATCTTTTTTCAATTCATAACTTTCAATCGAACTCATCAGTTTAATTAAGTTCCAATTCCTCAATCAAATATTTGACAAAGATGAAGAGTTTGTGACTTTTTCTTCATTCTTTTACAATTATTATTCAGTGAGTATATAAATGCTTGAAAAATAAGATTAACTTTTTAATTTATTGAAAGAAAGATTTCATTTCATCATTATTACCTAAAATTACAACTGCTTGTAAAACATTGTGAAAATGTTTTTTCAGGAAAATCCTAAAATTATATTGATTATTGGCGAGAAAATAAAACTTACCATTTAGAAAAATAATTCTTAACATTTTCCAGTGTAAAAAAAAGTAGAAATGTGAAGTTAAACACTTGGAATTTCATATCTAACATTTTGACGCAATGTTCAATATATGGTGAAAAATACCTTTCTTTTATGCAATGGTTTAGCTTTATTTCAGAGCATATAGTTATGACCGTGCACAAACTTTAAGAAAAACAAAAACTTCTGTGTGTCAGGGATATAAAGAACTTGATAATGTAAAAACTTTATTTGCCTCAAAAAATTATACTGTTAGAAAAAGTGGACATGTTACAAGCACTCAAAAATGGGCAACCATTATCAAGACTTGCCAGGCGTGAAAGTGGAATACAAAACAGATTTGAAAGAGAAAATTAATTTCAGTTCTGAATTGTTTGTTAGAAACGTTTACTGTTTCAAGTGGGTTTTGTATTCCTCGCTAATTGTTACATCATTTTGAAGTATATAATTTCAAAATACAAAATTTGAATGTATTTGATCAAATAGTTCTCAGAAAATATTTAAAAATACGGATTTTTTAAAATTTGATTTAAAAACTATTAAATTGAATTCGTTCAAATTTTTTCATTCAAAATTGAGTACTTTAAAATATTGTTTAAGTTTGTCTTTCTATTCAGTTTTTTTACTATTATTGCGTAAAATAATAAAGAATATTAAATAATTATTTAATGGAATTATCTTTATATAAACCAATTTTATAATTGCATGAAAAAAACTTGATTCTCTTAAAAAGTTTTTGGGATGTAGAGAAACACACAGAGAGTGAAATTAAAATTAAGGTGTTCAAACATTCAAGTACTGCTGCATAAACTAAATTTATTGGGACCATATTTTCTGTATTGCAGCGAATTATTTTTCTAATCAGCAGAAAAAAACACCCAAATGAAAACTAAGTGTTAATAGTCAAATATGGTTGTTCATTTCATTGCCAGATTAAACATTTTGGCACAAAGGTGAGCTGTTGCACTAACCTTGATATGAATGATTATTCATACTAAATTTAGTCCTCACTAAAATTTCTTTGAATCATGCCCATATTTGTTTGTCTGATATGTTTTATACAAAAAAAAAAATTAGCTAACAGAAAATGTCTATTTTCTGTTTACATTTTAAAGTTCATATTTAAAAAAGTGCACAATTTCTAATATAAGGGAAATTTTTACCATAATTTGCTTAAAAAATGACCTCGTTTTTCTTTTTAGATTCAGTACATTCTTTTTTTAAAAGAAATTGGTGTTCCATATGAGGAAGTCCTTAACCTATTTATGAAGGAATATTCTTTTCCTATGAATTTTACAAGTACTTGCATCCATTCTTGGAGTGATAGTAGAAATCGTTATATTTATAGCATTCAACATTTGTTTGGAAGGAGAGGTTCTAGAAAAAACTATCGAGCACATAGCTGTTATTCATTACAATGTTGTAATTCACGATCTGTGTTTGAAGGAGGCTGTCCATTTGCTTGTTTTGATAGTGACAACATTTCTAAAAGCCTACTTTCAGAGAATTTGCAAGTAAATTTCTTTTATTTCTCTATAGATTTCATTATTCTTGGTATTATGGGCAATACATTTTAGTTTCTAAATTAATTGTCACAAAATTGTGCAATTTGTGTAGCATATAAATTGTATATAATTAATGTTTATTTCTTGTAAAATTAATTCTTTTTATTGTCCTGTTAAATTTTTGATTTAGTGTATCAATTCTGTGTGCTCCTTTATTTTTAATAGTTTGAAAATAGATAAAACTGATGTGCATGTTCTTAATTTCATCTCACGAATAGCAATATTTTTTCACATGACCTAATTTTTACCTTTAAAACTTACCTACAAAAGTTAAATCTAAATCATTTTGAATGATCAAATAATGAAAACATAGAGGTACTTTTTTTCAAAGCTCTATAAATATATTTCCTGCTGACTTAAATAAGTTTTTTAACTTACTTTTAAACTGTCTAAAAAAAATTTACAATTTAGCTTTAATGCTAACAAGGCATAAGTTAACTTTATTCAAAGACTTAATTTAGATTTTAATTTTAATAAATTTTTTAAAAGTTTCTAGCTAACTTAAAGCAGCATGTCATATAATGAAAAAACTGACACTGTCTTATTCAAGTTTTTTTTTATTGTTATTTGGAGTAAAGTTCTTCTAACTTTAGATGCATATATACAGTGCAAAGTCTCATATCTGGGTGTCCGTTTACTGGAAATGTCTATTTTCAGGACATTTTTTAAACTACCAAAATAAATAATTCACTCTTCCTTTATCAAATTATTTTTTTAATTTCTTTTTGTTGCATCTCTAATAGCTAAACATTTATTCAGCCTTAATAAGCAGACTAAAAGAGTTGTTGAAAAGATGAGAGCAGTTAAAGAAACAAACTATGAATATCAGTGGAGGTGAACATTTATAGTGTTTGACAAGATTTGTTTCTCTTTAGATTATAAATGTTTTCATTAAAAAAATTATTTAATTCAATACCTAGTTTAAGATTTTTTAATTCCCGTTGCTTTACTTTTGGAACTTAAGATTTGTTTTTTAATGTTCTTTTTATCTAATTATCTGTGCAGCTTCACATAATTTCCTTATTCCTTAACATTCCTTTATTCATAAAAGAGAAAGTTCAAATTATCGCCTGCTCACTTTTTTAAATTTATATATATATATATATATATATATATTATCAAAATAAATATTCTTTATTTTTTTAAATCTCATTCAATCTATAAAAAAATGTATGGAATTGATGTAATTATAGTTTATATCCGGAATAATCTATTTTCTGGACTTGCTGAAGTCCTGACAATTCCGGGTGTTGTACTTTTGATTGTGTTTATAAAAATTAATAACTTTAAATAATTAATGAAATTTCAAGTAATTCTATACATTCAGTATATTCAATATATATCTTCAAAGTTTTTTTAGATAACATTTTTTCTAAATTCCAATGAATGTTAAAACATTCATTAGAAAATGTTGCACTAGCAAAATATCTGTCATCAATGTTATATTTCATCTTTAACATTTATGTAACTACCAACAAATATTTTCACTTTGAGCTACCTGTTAAACTTTAAGATAACTTTAATTTGTTACTAATAGACAAATCAATAATTCAGAGTTGTATGACTTGTATATATATAATAATTTACAAAAGTCTGAAAATTTGAGAAAATCAATCTAAGGAAATAAATTTTTTTTTTCTGAGTGTTTGTAGCCACCTAGTTATAATTTTATTTATTTGTATTTCAAAAAAATAATCAGGTTCAAAAAATTTGAATTTATCTCACTTCTAGTTTTTAGCTATGTTAATAAGAACCCTGTATAAATTGATGTTTGTAATATTTCTTTCTTGTAAAGTATCAGTAACAGTGGAGCGACTTTTCTTGCTAAATTTGCCTCAGTACTTTTTCTCTTCTCCACTTTATTTGAATTTTTGTACTGCTGGCCTACTATCCGTATCATTTAAAATTAAGCGATAGAAATAATTGATGATCCACTGATCTGCGATCACTAAAACATGATTCCAACTTCAAGAAATCAATCCTTAGTGGTCTGTGAGACCACTTACCAAAAGTCAGCGATCTAGTAGTGTCAGTATCTTGCCAAATACACCATCACTACATGATGCATCATCACTGGTCAGTAATCAGTATTTTTCCAAAAACGCTGTAAAAAAGGCTTTGTTGATTTATTGAGTATCCTAATAAAATTTTCTGCCAAAAAATTAAAACTTTTAACTATTTGAGATATGTTGGTGGAAGTATATGTTTTACTTTATTCAGTAAGAATTTTGACACTGATACTATACATGCAAACTAAGTAAAAATTCTCAAGAACGATAAATTATCGAAAAAAAGGCATTTTAAATGAAAAATTCTGTGTTTAATGCTTGAAAAAACAAACTATTTGTTAAAGATAAAATTGTACACATTTTTGCATTCTGTGGGTAATGAGAGACAGCTCTGAAATTTTGAATGATAAGTGTTCTTATTTATATTGTTAAAATGTATGATTCAATATAAACTAGAAAAGTAGAAAGTTAAAAGTAAGAAAAAAGTGTAGGGTTAAGTAATTGAATTGTTATTGAATATAAATCTTTTTTTTTTTTCCTTTGAAAAGAATGAAGTTTTGTTAGAATGTCCTAATAAAATTAGAAAATTAAAAGTAAGAAAAAAGTGTAGGGTTAAGCAATTTAATTGTTATTGAATATAAATCTTTTTTTTTTCCTTTGAAAAGAATGAAGTTTTGTTAGAATTGCAGAAACATCTCATGATTGCAAAATTAGTCAGATAACATTGGGTATTCAGTTTTTTTTTGTGTTAAAAATATTTATTTGCCTTAAATATAAAAATTAAAAATTTTAGCATTTTTTTAAAAAATTTATTAAGACATAAAGATTATGATACATTTATAACATGTAAAGGATTCCACATTAAATACTAAGTGAATGAAAAAAAAAATGTATAGTCTGTTTATAATCTTTATATTTCTTTCTCCTTCTTTTTTATTTTATTTTGTTTATGAATTTCTTAAAAGTATTTCTGTTTTTAGGTGAATGATATTGAAGATATCAAGCTCTTATCTGATAGCAAAAAATACACAGAAGCATGTGGCTATTTCCTTAACAAAAAGTTACATATTTTGAAGCAATCAATGGTCAGTCAAAGAAAAGATTCAAGTTCAAGGTTTGAAAATACTGAAATTAAAATCAATAATAATCAAAATTTGAGTAATGAAATTTTGATGCAGAAGAAAAAGAATGACTCCACTTTTGATAATTTATCATCACATATATCTAAACCATCAGAATTTTATTTCATTCTTTCAAATTTCATGAACTAAACATACAGTGATATGCTTTTTAAAAAACTGGTTTATATGTAAATACAGTATTTGGATAAAGAAAACATCTTCAAGGAATTTTCATATTCTGTTAAAAAAAAAAAAAATTAAGTGTTGATAGAAAAATCTAGGCAATATTTTTTCACATTTGCTTTATTGAATTCTATAGAATTTTATATTTTTATTTGCTAAAATTAGCTCATTAAAACCTATACTAAAAAATTGGAAAATATGCATTAGTTTGATTTGTTTATATTATGCTCCTGCTTTTATCTGTTTCTTTTTATTTATAGTGATATGAAAAATTTGACAACATGAATATTTTAATAAGTTCCTAACATTAAAAACACAACATTTTATTGCATGTTTGAACACTTTGAAATATCCTTGTTACTTTTTAATTATGTAATTTAACTTTAATAATTTTGATTAGATTAACATATTGGAGTTTAAAATATTTAATAGCAAAAAAAATCATCTTAAATAATTTTTAAAAAAAATCATTGTATTGTATTTAAAATGCTTCTTTTATTTAGACTTTTTTATTTGTTTCTTATTCATTTAAAAAAAGTGACTAAGGCTGTTCTGATAGATAGATCCTTTACAAGTTTAAAAAATTCTATAAGGAAATGTAGCAATATTGTGTTATTGTTAGGTAATTTACAAAAAATAACTTTTAATTCAGATTTACAAGTAACTAGTAAAGTACTTTAAATGAATTAAATTTATAATTTTGTTTGCGGAAATTCATTCTAACTTGCTTAATGTAATATAAGAAGATTAATAAAATCAAATGGTAATTCAGATCTTTGTATTAACTCATTTTTAAAGTAAGCCTCATCAATATACCGTATTTTTCGGCGAAAGAGCCGCGGCGCTTTTGAAAAAAAAGGTGTTTTTTTCCTACATGCGGCGCTTCCGACGAAAACATTTTTTATAGCAAAAAAATTTATGAAGAAAAATTTTTTAAGATTAAATAATTTTCTGAGAGAAAGACTTTATTGAAAAAATTTATTACGAAGTCGACGAAATATTCATCCGTATCGCTATCTGCTGCAAAACAATTGCCAATTCTTAGCAGCGACCGGCAAGAAAATAAATAAATGAAATAATTAAAAATAAAAAAAAACATCGCAAAAAAAATTAAGTAAATAGAAGGTATGTATCTTCAAGGATGAGATTTTTCTGCTTTTTAGAGGATTTCCGCTTTTGTCTATCGAATTTCTGCTTTTTTTTTATCAAAAACTCTCTCTAAAAATTTCGGTTTTTTATTTTATTTCATAAATATTCCGCATTTTCTGAAAATTCCGTCTTTAAAATAAAATCATTATTTCCGATTTTCAAAGATAAACAAAAAATTCAAACAACGTAGCTGCAAACCCTTCGCCATTATTACTTATTTTAGTTATTTTCTACACTTTTAAGCACAGAAAATAAAATTGTCTGTATTATTGCCCCCGCCCGCCAGATAGCTTGTACTTTCGTAATTCAGGAGCCGCTGTTTCTTGTTTATTGACGAAAAACAAACGAAATAATAATAATAAATAAAATGAAAAATAGCGATGGATTAGCGGTGAACATATTTATTTGCCAATTCAATTAATTTTGTAAATTTTTATTACGGCTAAACGAAAACAATACAAACAAGCCTTTTAGAAATCTCAAGGCCAGAATCTGCTAATATCTGGATCTTATTCACGCGATTTTAATATCAAACATCGATTTTCGTATTTACCTGATTTAAAAGTCGCAATTCTTATTCACGCGATTTAAATATCGTACATTGCTATTCTTATTTACGAGATTTAAAAATCCAATATCGTGATATGTATTTATGCATTTTCAAAAATCGTGATTTTATTACCAAAGATCGATTTTCGTATTTAACTGATAAAAATAATGCATAGTAGGTAATTCTTATTTACGCAATCTGAAAATGACATCATGATTTATTGTATTTTCGTACTTTTGAACTCCAATATAGAGTTTCATATTCACAAGATTTAAAATCCACATATCAGGATTCATAGTCGTTAAGTTTAAAATTAATCATCAGAATTTATATTCACATAGTTTAAAAGTTGCACTTCTTCGGTCAAATTTTTGGATATTATATATATATATATATCGGATACAGTCGGACCTCTATTTAACGAAGTCTCTAAATCCCGATAATAAGTTCGTTATATGGAAAATTCGGTAAATCACCTTTTGAAATACTTAAACACAAAACAAGTTTTAAATTCTTAAGCCCTAGACATAATTAAAATAGCAATTGATACACCTTTATCTCGTAAACTAGTACAGTAGGGAACCGATTATCCGGAATGATCGGGACCATCGCTATTCCGGATAACTGATTTTTTCCGGTTTTCTGCATCGCTACAAAAAGCCGTTTTTTTAATATTAAACCAAACTGAAAAAAAATTTTTTTGGATATAATCTTAAAAAGAAGAAAAAAACGATGAAGTAACACACTAATGATTATTTCCAAAATGATGGTAAGGTAAACATCTTTCAAAAAAGAAAGGAAAATCCTAAAATCTTATGAGGAAAAAAAAAAATTTTTTTTTTAAATGGCGGGAAAATTTATCGAATTTCGTTCCGGTTTTTTGGTTTTCCGGTTTTCTGATTTCCGGATAACGGGTTCTGTACTGTA